AAGGTGACACCGATGAAAGGCCAGACTCGTTTTGGAGTCAAGGGCAAGTTATCGTCGAGATGCATCGGACCATATGAGATTATCGAGAAAATCAATCTAGTGGCGTATCAAGTTGCGCTTCCTCCTGAAATGGAGCATATGCACAACGTCTTCCACATTTCTATGTTGAGGGACTACCTTCGGGATCCTTTCCACGTGATAGAGCCTACTCGTGTAGTGCTGAGTGATAACTACACTTACAAGGAACGACCTATTCAGATTGTAAACAGACGGATCAAGAAGTTGAGAAACAAAGAGATCCCGTTAGTGAAAGTTGACTGGCAAAACCATGGTGGTGTGTATGCCACTTGGGAGAGGGAAGATGACATGGCTAAAAGATATCCTGAACTGTTTCCACTGAATCCTGTTTTCTTCCAAAACGAAGGTAACTCGAGTTTAGAGGACTAAACTCTTTTTAAGGAGGGGAGACTGTAACAACCCTCGTCACTGTTTACCGATACACTACCGATTATTGCTAAACTGAGACTGATTATGAAAAGTAATTGAACTGATTGAAATACTGAACTGACTGACTGAAATCTGAAACTGATTGATTGACTGTATCTGATGCATTATCTATCTGTTTGACTGTTTGATTATCTGTTTATGTTTTTATGGTTAAATTGCAAATTGAAGGCCTTAGCGGCGGCCGAACCGGAAATTGATTAGTGTTCCATGATCAGTAGAATTTATGTGATTTAATGGTTTAATTATCTGAAAACTGATTAGGCATGATTAAACTAGATTAAATTAAGCTAAATTTCATTAGATGGACTTAATTGCCAAAATGCCACTTAGTGGCCACTATCTCACACATTTTGAGGCTTGCATACTTTGACACAAACACACTTCATCAGCCTTGTTGAGTGTATAACCGGCTAGAGAGTGAGGGAGAGTGAGAGAAGTGAGTTAAATTTGTTTTCATCTTGATTTTTGCTTGGAGGCTTAGGGGAATTGAAAGCTTAAGTGCATAATTGAGCCTCTAGACTTGTAATTGAGGAACCTAGGTATAAATTTCATCCTCCTTATTGTGTATTTAAGTTCCTCCTAGCATGGATCATGGTAGTTTAAAGAGCTAAGTTAAGAATTGGTTCATTAATGTTGAATTGGAGCTCATTCCATGCATGCATGTTTGAATTGTTGAGTTGTGAGTTGATTTCATGGTAAAATGTTATATGCATGTTCATATTGTGTTTAAGTCTATGATTTCATCTTGTCTTTGAAAGAATTGGCTCATTAGAGCATGAAATTGAAGCTTTGAAATGGTTTAAATTCATGCATGTTTGCATGTTTTTCATATTCTTGAAAATTGGTTTGAAATTGAGTTGTTTGAAACACCCTTGGGCTTTGATTTTACAATTGAGCTGTGGAATCATGTTAAACTATGAGTTTTGGGATGTTTTCTGGAAAATTGGCCCAAGAGGATCGAAATTTATGTTTTAAAACTTGGTTTTGAGCTTGAGGTTCAAATCTGGAATTTTCAGATTTTGAACTCACGCTCGAGTGGGGTGACTGGCGCTCGAGCGTGAAATTCGTGCTCCCAGTACTTTGCACTGTTTTGATGTCCGCTCGAGCGGATTAATTGACGCTCGAGCGGGACATTGTGTCTCATGCTCGAGCGGGTGTCGAGCGCCCAATCGAGCGTGATTTTCACCCATCAAGAACTTTTGACTGTTTTGCAGAACGCTCGAGCGGGTAAGTTTACGCTCGAACAGAAACCTTTGTCTGCATGTCCACTCGAGCGGATTAACCTACACTCGAACGTGACCCCTGTTTTCTGAAAATTCTGAAAATTTTTTCTGAATGCATCTTTGCATCCTCATCTCATCCTAGGCATTCTTAGGCCTAGTTTAAGACATCTTAATGAGGATATAGATGCAGAACATACCGAGGCAAATTAGGGATTAAGTTATTATCTTTCCCGACTGTGTAGCTTAGTGTGTGTTCAATCTGTAACTGTGTAGGGTTGGCGACTGGGGACGTGCTCTAGCCATACTGTAGCCCAGAACTCTGTGAGTAACAACTGTGTAAAGATATGTTCAAAATGATTATCTTCTGAACAAATGAACTGTATTGCTTTCTGAACTGATACTGTTAATTGAATGAATGTATGTCCTATATTCTGAACTGTATTGTGGCATCTTTAGCAACTACTGTTTATTGTTACTGTTACAGAGATCTCTGTCGGTTCCCTTGTTGGAACCACTACTGTTTACTGATTGATGGCCATCATTTACTGTTCGGTCTTTTAAGACCTACTGTTTACTATACTGTTATGCTAATGGATGTACCACATATGACTGAATGACTGATATACTGAATTAACGAGCTGTTTTCATTACTGTAAGGACATTCATTCCTAACCTCTTTATGCATTATGTTATTCACTAGGCTTTAGCTCACTGCTCATATATATATGTAGGTGTACAGGCACCAGACCGCGGCTAAAGTGTCGGGGTTAAGCTCTAGTTTTGTCAAGCCAACCACTGTGCCTCACTGCGAGGTTCCGAGCCTGTCTAGTTATGGCTTAGAGGTGTTTTTAATTTCCTCGTCTGTCTCTGTATCTGTTTTGTACAATTGTATAGACTGTTACCGTACTGTTTAATAGGGAAGAGGTCCCTGAACTGAATGATTGTATATATGTACATACTATTTTGTCACTGACTGCATATATGTATGAAAAAGTCTTTTTGGCATACAGACTGTCACAGCTCATTGGACATTGTTTATTTACTGTTTTGGCTTCTGCCATGCCCCTGAACTCTTGATTACTGTGTTACTGTTAAGTAGGCCTTCGGTAATCTTGGATTGCTGGCCGGTTACGGTGCTAAACCCATAGGGGTGAGTTTGGGTCGTGACATTCTCTTTCTCTCTCTAATATAAAGTCATTGGGTGACCAACGACCATCATTGCTTGGAGTTCACCAGCAACCATCGAATATTGACTTCTTACTTTACATTCACCGACGGCGAAAGAGACGAGTTTCCGGTAAAGAAAATGAGTAGATCTATTCAGATCTGATGTAGATCTACTCAGATCTAAATAAAAAATAGTTGCTGGAGTACAATATTCTCTTTATATCTGTTTCTCTCCTTCGATTTCTCAATTTTTCTACATTTTCTTTGCTATATACTTCTATTTTCTTATTTTAATGGAAAAAAATTTTAAGTTATGAACCTGTTATTTTTAAGTTTTAGTTACAGGCGGTGAAAACTGTAAAATTTTACAGATTTTTTTTTTGTACTGAAATGAATCATTCTTTAAAACTGTAAAAATTTACAGTTTCATGACATTCTTTAAAATTATAAAATTTTACAATTTCATAACATGTTTTTCAATTTGATTAATAATAATAAATACTTAATAGAATCATGTTTTGAAACTATAGCATTTTACAGTTCAAAGTTTACTTTTCAGTTTGATCAATATTAGAGATTATTTGGAAAAAATTACAAAAATTGAAAAATAATATATTCTTTTTTTCCATTGTTGTTTGTTGTTGTTATTATTATTATTTTTTCCTTTCAGTTTATCAATATTTGGAACATTTTGCTATGTTTTTTATCACTATAATTTCTCTATTTTTTTTTTTTGACAATATTCTGGACATTCCGGTCAGTTTCTGATGATATTCTTGATGTTCAACGAATATTCTGGACATTCTGGCGTACTTCTCCGGTGATGTTAAATATTTTGGCGAGTCTCCGGTAACCATTTGATGAAAGTTCGACGATAGTGACATGTAACAGTGTTTTTACAGTTATAATTTTTTTTTTTTGATAACAATTAAAAATAAGTAGGTCTAATTGATGCAAATATTTTATTTAAAATTAAATAAATTTTAAACTTTGTGTATGAGTGTCCAAGGTGTATGGTGTATGGGCTTGGGCGCTATCCTTGAGTTATGCGCTTGGACGTGTTTTTTTGTTGTGAATTCTCAGAGATGTAGTAGGTCCAGCATGGATGTGAAACCCCCCTCTCCGCCCCCCTATATAATGAATGAAACAAACAAGCTAGGGTTGGGAGGTAACGTTAAGATTTTAAGAATGGCACGCACAATCAACTTCAGATGCCTGGGCGAAGGATTTGAAGGTTAAAATTTTTGTGTTTGGGAAGATAGTTGAGTTTTTTTTTTTTTGTAATTGGATGTGATGTTTGTGAGAAAAAAATAAATAAAATGATTATGAATTTGATGTGATATTTTGTCTAGATTTGTTTCTTTTGATTTTTTAACTAATTTTGTCTTTTAGTGTGTTTTAGCAAAAAAAAAAAACTCTTCCCAAACAGCGCCATGGATGTGAAAACCCCCCCGCTTCGCCCCCTATATAATATGAATGAAACAAACAAGTTAGGGTTAGGAGGTAACGTTATGGTTTTAAGAATGGCGTGCACAATCGATTTCAGATGCCTGGACGAAGGATTTGGAGGCAAAACACACAAGAGAAAAAGATCTAAGCAAGCCGAAGAAGAGCTCAATCGATCCATCCAATCTCAAAACAACAACAAAGACGATGCCTCCATGGAAGTGGAAGAAGAAGAAGAAGAAGAAGAAGAAGAAGGGACACAGTCAAAAAGACAAGCAGTGTCATCTTCAGATAACCCAGACAAGTCGGTGGTGTTTGGAAAGCCTACATACGATGGAGTAATAGCAGGGAAGGTATCAGGGAGGAAGTGGAAGCAGCCGAGGACACACAGAGCGTCGACAGTGTACGTGACTAGGAAGAGCACCACGTACGAGCAGAGGATGAAGCAGAAGAAGATCAAGAGGGCATACACCGAGAGGATAACGGAGCTCAAGGAGGAGATCAGGCACAACAAGGTGGAGAAGAGGAAGAAGCGACAGGAGAGGGACAACAGGAAGCAAGACAACATTCTCAGATCTGGGACCAAGTTGCAGAAGATAACTAATCCCAAGACGCTCAAGAAGATTGCCAAATCTAAGCACAAGAAGCTCCTCAAGGTTGTCCCTGACGATCTTCTCAACAACAACAACAATAAGAAGAAGGATTAATTTTTTGTTTTGTTTTTTTTTTAAATTTTTTTTTAATTGAGTACTTGGAACAAAAAGACCTGATGTTTTATAATTTTTTTTGTTACTTTGAATTTGGATGGAAATGGGATTTTGGTAGTATCTAATTTAGAGAGATATGGTGGTGGTGCTATGATGTTTGATTACAATTCTCCTCTGCTCCTGTTCTTACAATTTCAAGAAATGATCATAGAATGGAAGTTTGAAGTCATGCCTCACTCCCCAAGCTACGAGGTTAGGTTACCCATCCAGAATTTTTTATTTTTTTATTTGGCAATGATAAATAACTTCATATTATAGAAGAAAAACATAACTCAAAATACCTGCATGCCAAACACAGAAAGAAAATGTTACTACTAACAAAAAAAAAAAAGGGACAAAATGATCTAAACAAGCATACAGAAAGATCTAAACTAGAACGCAGAAGAAAACTGAATTCAGCAATAGTGGCAAATACAGATATGTCCAGCAAATCGATCAAACATGTACTAGGAAAAAAATATCTTGCATTTTAAAGAATAATACGATTGTTTCCAAAATTTTCATAGGTCTCATCTTTCATTTCAACACATGCACAGTAAAACCCTTTGAGCAATGGGGTATTATATCACTGAGGTTAGACAATCTCCTTACTCCCTTCACATGTTTGGCTGAATGAATCCTATGATCCAACTGCTATAAATTTAAACAAACATTGACTGGACCATATGCGCACTTGCTCTTAAAGCGAGGTAAAGGAATGGTGCTACTAATTAACAGGACCTTGATCTATGAAAAACACCAGTTGGGTCTTCTACCAATCAAACATCACAAAGGAATGCGAAAGGCACAACACCAGATTTTGTTTACGCCTCAGATTTTAAGCTATGCCTCACACATACCAGGTCTTCCAGCTTATTGCCATCCATTTTGTACAGTGTGACACCTTGCATCTGCTTGTAGTAATCCTGTGCCTCCTTTCTTAGACTCTCAAACGGCATCACTTCCCATTTACTGTAATTTGAATGCTTCCTGACAATACTCATGTCTGGAGATCCCGAGATTGGCCCGCTCCCATCAGGATTGCCCCACACCTTACAGCTATCAAATTGTCCCAGCCCACCAGCTTGGTCATTTTGGCCCCTCTTCAAGCGCAAAGCTGCTGCATGAGCTCTGCTTATAGTTTCTCGGCTCGGCACGTCTGACCAGTCTTGCTTCCTCTTCGCCCTCATGGGAGAATGAATCCTAATAACCTGAAAAGCATAAATTTTTGATAAACTATACGGAAATTCACTACATTGTCAATGCATTTTTTTTTTTCTTCAAAACTTATACATACACCAAGGCATTCTAGAAGTTGGTAATATGCCCGCCCTTGAAGTGGATTATGCCCTTTCCTTGGTGTGGAGAAGTATCGGGTCCTATGGAAAAAAACACAACGGTAAACAGAGGGAGAGATGCTAAGACATCAAAGTTGTTAGCAAGAATATTAAGGCCAGATAAATAAAACATATTAAGAACATAAACAAGGTGTCTCTCTTATGAAAAAGAACAGTTAAAAAAGTGAACTGACCATTCAGTATAACCTGGATCAACTGTGAAACCATATATGTCAACAATGTCACACATGGAAAGTGCTAGTTCTATAGACTTCATTCCAGTTCCTTTGGCACCTCTGCGTAACACAATACCTTGGAATAGATAAACTGGATTTGGAATACTCTGCCACATACACACGACAAAACATTAGTCAAGCCAAGGGAGATTTTCAATAACAAATTCAACCACACAGCTCCTTTGGCAAACAAAAGAAGGTAGAATCTGGGAATCATATTTGAAAAGCCCTGATTACTATTGTCTTTGCACCAAAACAGCACGGGTTCCTAAGTAAAGAATAATTCCACACTTTGTAAAAATGATGGATGTGGCAAACTTTTTTTTTTCTTCTTTAAATTGAGGTCTCGTGGCTTGAACATCCTTCAATTACATAGAATAATTAATTTTTAAAAAGAAAAAGTAGGACAAAAGTGGTTTCGCCATACTTTTGACTACTTCCCCTCCTACTTATTAAACACCCAAAGAAGGGGAAGTCCTTCCCTTTACTTCCCCCACATCCCCTAATCCAAATGTCATGTTAAGGTCCCAATAATAACAAAAGCCTCATTTATCAATAGGAGCACTTTTCCTTTCCTCAAAAATAAGGGGAGTGTTTGGTAGACATGTATTGAATATGGCTACAAGAATGTAAAATAAATAAATTAATAACACAAAAGATACTCCAAGGCAAGCATTTGTCGAACATATGCCCCTCATTCTTTATGTATGCCAAAAGAGTTGCCAAATCATATATCAGATTTGCATCTGATTAACCAAAGAAAATACTAACTACATTAGCTGTTCTGAGATGCAATCTTCACCTTTATCATTGCATTGAAGGTTCTATGGGTCAAACTTTTGATAATAAGTACCTCATCATCTGCAGGAAGAAACAATAGTAAGTACTGACCCATAAATCTGTATGATTATACCAAGAAACTTCTACATCTTCGTTAGAGAGGACCATCAGAAAATTTACAAATTTGAATAGTAAAAAACAGAGCTATAGAAAGCATATATAATAATAATAACTTGTTTTGCTCTTGCATGAGAAACTGGCCTTTCTTTTCTTTTCTTTTCTTTATTTTATTGTGTTTTGCCAGCATGAGTAAGTAACCTCAAAATCAACAATTCCATACCTGACTTCTCCTTGTCATCAACTGAGTAATTTTAACCTACAAACTCTTTTCCAAGCTCTATAATTCCATCAAAAAGATCCAGGAAAAAATGCCTTTCCTTTAAAAATTATAGTTAAGGAGAGCTAACTAAGAAGCTTATCATCACATATTTACAGTACTTCCAATTTCTAAAGGAACACATTTCATGTTTGATTGCTGTGGATAAGTAGGCCATAAAGCATCTCATATCCCATGATACATCAATAACTACCCAAAACAATGACTGCATAGTATGTTACATGGTCTAAGGTCCGCGTATTGCACATGCGTCTAGTTGCCAAAACTCTCTGAAGGTATACATAATGTTGTAATTAATGAAGTTATCACTATTTGGTGATACAAAATATAAGAGTTCAAATTAAATTGGATGCTGTAGAATAAATAGATCTCTAATCTATCTTTCCATGTGCCCTTTTACTGCTACCAGACACGAGCTTCTCCTTTTATCATAATGGATAAATGATTGGTTTGTCTGCTTAGGATATGCATCAGATACTAATGACAGACACATATGGCATACCCATAATCATGCTGTGTCGAATAGGGCTGCCAGCAGAGGACCAGAACACAGCTACAAATTTTACAGAAATAAAATTAAAAAATGAAAGAAACAAAACATATCTATAAATTTACCTGACCCATTGAGAATAGGAACCATATTACGAGCTGCACCCCTCACTACTAGGCGAAAATCCCTCTTCAGACCAACATACTTGGCATATTTCTACAAAGAAATAATAGCGGTGATAATCAACTGTTTCCAAAATAATTTCCTACCACCTCCAAAAAGAAGATAACGAAGAAGCATATAGTGCCTATTATCATAATCAAGTATAAATACTTCTCTCTTCTTTTTTCTTTGTTCTTTTTTAAAATGTAAACCAGTATAATACCGTTGCTTCCTAGATAGAAGATCAACATTTCAAATCAGTGATTACACTGATTATGCACAAGTTACAGAGTATCTAGATGCCAATCTTTTTGCTTAAAAGGTCTAAATTTACTTGGTTAATTATTAATTCATCAATTCCATTCCAAAATCAGGAGGAACTCGTGAGAAGACCCAGAAAATAGCACTACTTTGCAAATTTACCTCATTAACGGGGGCCTCATTGTCTCGTATAACAGCATCATGACTATCAATCTCTCTTCCAAACTCCGTCTTTAAGAGGTCACCTGAATTTCCAACAACAGCACATCTCTCAAACTGTCGAGGGTGGAAGGGTGGCTTTGCAGGCAAAAGTAAGCTAAGGTGCTCCTCACAAAGAGAGCGATTGTAGCATTTATCTGCACCTCTACAACCATGATAAAGGGAAAAAATGTTTTCATGATACTCAGAAGTATTCACTACATGATATCCAAATTCAACCAAGTAAGAAACATCAATTAACTTTATAAAAGCAAAAGTTTGAATATCATACAATTGTGCTATCCTTTTTGCTGCATATTCTAACCACCCATCAGGCCGAGCATCTAGATATTCTCTTGTCAGCACTGTAGTCATATTACGGTACTGCATTTCAGACAACCTCAGGTTATGCCATATATATTATTGAAAAACAACAATCTCTAAGAAAAACTACAATGATCAACCTGTTCCCACAACAGAATCGCCTCGCAAACATCATAACTGTACTCCAAGGGTTCAAAGATTTTAAATTGCTCATTGTACTGCAAGAAAAGAACAAAGCAATCAATAAACAAAAAAGACGCATCAAGGAGAAAGGTGAGGGGAAGAATGGACAGACCCAAGTGCTGTTAGTACCCTCAGGAAACTTAAGAATCAATTTACAGTGGTCAATAATATGTGCAGTGAGTCCAAGCCCTTTGCTTGCCTACATGCAATTTCAAGGTTAGTGGAAGATCAAAGTTCAAAGAAAAGTTACATAAATAATGCATTAAAAAAAAAAGTTACACTGCATAGATGGACTGAAAGCAACCTAGCACTGTGCAGAATTGTGGATGCATCCATTAGGATCTGTCTTTACCTAAAGTGACAATGTGCTTGATATATATATATATATATATAGATGCCAATGGCTGATTGTAGCTTTCTGTTTTATTTGAGTATATGTATGTTCAAATGGAAATAACATCAACTAACAAATGCCCCTTCCCAATTTTCAACTGCATTAAATTCAATTAATCTCTAGTGATGGCTAAAATAACAAACTCAAGTAAAAAAAATGTAGCGAAACAGAGGAGCATCATGAACAAACATACCAAAGTAAACACGATAATTAAAAGCAAACAACTACATGTGATAAAGATAACCCCGACCGACCCTTATTACTCCACCATTAAAAAAATAAAAATAAATCTTTACTAGTATATTTCACATCCATACGTATCTATCTTAAAAAACTCAATAGTCTTTATATATGTGTGTATATATATGGAAGTGAAGGAATAGAAAGCTAACCAACCACGCATTGCTGGACAGTGGACTGGAAATCAGACAAGATCCGAATTTCTTCTTTGTTTATACCGAGTTTCCGGGTGCCTGCACATGCAATTTTTTATAAATATATATATATATGATGATGATGATGATGATGATGATGATGATGATGAAGTAAACAGAGTATGAAATGAGAATTAGGGTTAGAATAGGGGGAAGAAGAGAAAAAAGAGGATAGAGACCAGTGAAGAGAGATGATTGAATGCCAAAAACGAGGAGAGAGAAAATGGCGGCAGCACAGAGGAGGTGAAGGAAGGCGGGTCTCTTGGTTGAGGATGCGGATGAAGATGCCTTGTAAGGAGGTCTTGTCATCGTCTTTCGTTGCTCTGCTGAGTTCAATGCAATTCAATTCAATTGCTTTTGCTTTTGCTTTTGCTACTACTACTCATCCCAGAGATCTGAACTACTTACTGATCTAGACTCAGACTTCCCAACCCAACCCAACCCAACCCAACCCATGTTCTCAAGAAACGGTCCAAATAAATATTATGGGTTCTCTCTCTGTTTCTGGGTACCAGCCAGCCCCAAGTGACTATTTTGGTTATAGGGACAGCATTGTCCTCATCCAATATAATAATAACAGAGTAAATTAATTAATAATATTTAATTATATTAAAAATATATTTTAATTAATAATTTAAATAATTTTATTATTATATATGAATGTTATTATAAATTTTATTTTTAATTAATTTTATTAAATAAAAACTTTTGTTAAAAAAATAATAATTTATATTTCAAACCAACTTCGTAAGGTTTATTTATAATTCAGTGGTATTAAAGACCTTTAATTTAGAGATTTTAAACAAATTTTTAATAAGGTGAAAAAAACAAAAGAAACAAACCGATACAACATTGACAATACAGTAAGTCCACCGTGACATTACTAGTGCCCCCACTGATCAGATCGGGGGTTCCAAGCATTTTTGTCTGTAATTAACCTATACCAATATCATTCCACCACCTCCCAAATTGCCGAACCTAACATTTGAAATTGTTCTCATATCTCATTCATTCTCAAAACCCTAAAAATCTCAATCTCAATCTCAATCATAGCATACCATACCAATTCAAATGGAAGACAGTTTCAGAGCTCGCGTGGACAAGGTATTTGGCTCACTAGCTTCTTCATCATCGAATACTTCTTCTTCTTCTTTGGCCTCGTCGTCAGTGAGTTCTTCTTGTCTGTGGTCTCTCACCGACGAAGAGATAGAAAGAAGAGAATGGAAGAGAGAGAGGGACAGCCCCGACGATTCCGCACCCAAACCCTACCCTCCCAACCTCGACGGCTTCTTTTCCAAAAACCCTAACATCTCCTCCTCCTCCTCCTCCTCCTCTCAAACCCAATCATCCTCCACTGCTTTTCCTGAAGAGCTCGAGGTGGTTGACCTTCATGACTATAACGACAACGATAAGGGGAAGCTGAGTCATGGTGCTTCTTCGTCTCGTCACTTGGTGAAACCAGATGACCACGATGACGAAGAATGGGACATTCGATCCTCCATTGGCCTGGACTCCACTTTAGACTTGGAGGTACCTTCTTTCATTTCTCAATCTTCTTTCCCTCTCTCTTTATATGTATGTATGTCATTTATTGTTTTCATCTTTCATTTCATTTCATTTGGATTGAGTGTTTTAATAAGTTTTACTACCACTTTTTTCATACTATTCGGCTTATAAATTTGGTGGGAAAAGAAATTACCAGAAATAGATAGAAAGAAACAAAACTCTCTTATTTATTATGTCAAATTTCATTTTTTCTCAAAAAACTAATAATAAAGAAAGAAAAATGGTGAGACTTCTATACTATCAATATTGTCCATCATCAAAATACAAAGGAAGAAGAAAAGGAAATTTCAGACGTATCCCTATTTCACATTCTTTGCTTTCTTTTACTCATCCAAACTCCAAACATGATAGTGAGAAAATAGGTCATGTTTGTTTGGGTGGACATGAGCTTGGGATTGGACTAATAGTCCAATAAAATTATTAATCCGATATTTGGTTAAACAATTGAAGTACGGACTAATTATTTTAAACTTGATTATTAGTTAAGATAGGATACATAATCCAACGGATTCGTGGTCCTAGGACTATTAGTCATGGGAATGCTAATCCAGTCCGCCCAAACAAACATGGCCTTACAGTATTTGTTTTCTTTTCTCACCAGGGTAATTTTGCTTGTTAAATTTTAGATTTTGTATGAGTAGATAGATGGTCCAATTCTTGATGTCCCCCAATGGCTTTGCATTGGAGGTTCCTCACTGACCGTTTATATCATATTATTCCTAACAACCATTCAAAGTGTGGCATTCTAATATACTTTCATGAAGCCATTTTTGTCAGATGGAGTATATGTTTTAAGATTAGCAGAGGGGTATGAATGTGACTCACTTTCTCAAACTTTTCCCCCTTTGGGAACATGTTATTTTAATAACTTTTTGGCTTTTTACGGAAAAATATGCAAAAAAGTAGAGAGAGTGATGTGACAAGAGTCTTAACATTTATTTTTTCTGTCAAAATCATATCCTCTTTTGGTCAATCTTCCTCCTGCTATGTTATTCAGAGGTTTAGGGTTTGATTGGTGGATCACTTCTCTTCTCCTCTTTACCTTTCACAAATCAGTCCTTAATGGTGTGTTTGGTTAGGGGATTTGGGGAGGGATTTGGAAGGGGAAAGGGAAAAAGTGTGTGAAACTAGGTGAAATATAGGCATGTTTTATTCACATTTCACCTACCTTTTCCATTTCTCTTTCCAAATCCCTCCCCAAATCCCCCAACCAAACACAACATAAGAGTTCAAATGCTCTCCTTATACTAGACAAGAGTAAAGTTGATCCTTCTTAATCTTGAGACTCCTAACATTTATTTTTTCTATCAATTTATTTTTATTTTTTAAATGCAGGAAGAGGAAGATGAAAACGACAAAGTGGCTATTGGCAGTGAAAAGGCTGGTGATCACTTGTATATGAGGGACATAAACGGCTACTGGACTGATATAAATTTCTACGATGAGCTTCCTAATACATTTAAGGACATCAAAAGAGACCCTCGCGCGAATCATATGGCTGCAAAACTTAGACTTAAAGAAGATGCAGAAGCAGCTGGAAAATTTGACTCTTTGCGAGTTTCTGATACTGAGCTACATGTTGCAAATGCTCAAAATAACACATTGGATGAGGGTGTCAACCTGAAATCAATTCTGAAGAGGAAGGAAAATCAGACAGATCCAAAATCACAGAAGCGTGTCAGGTTTGACTCTGGATGTAAAAATGATTATGAGGATAACTGTTCACCAGAAGAAGCTACAATGTCAGAAGCATCCTTTTTGCCCCAGGAGGCTTCTGGTGTTCCAGATTATATACGAAATCCTTCAAAGTATAAACATTATACTTTTGATTCTACAAGTGATATTGATGAAGAATCCAATCAGGAAGCATGCTTGGAGTTTCTCAATCAGCTGAAGAGGCCAAACAGTGAGGAATCACAGCCAGTTGAGACTTCTGTTGATCTTCCAAAATCAATTACCTTCACTCCAAAAAAGAAGCTTGGTAATGCCGCAATGCTGAAAAATGGAAATGAGTTAAAACAAAACCAGGACGGTGTTGGCAAGGAGTCTATCCCCAGTAACGGTTGGTCCATTGGCATTGCAGCTGCTGGGGAAGAACAGGAAAGTGAAGTTTGCGCAATGGAGGAAGATGAGGCAGAAAAAGTAGCTACTAACAATAGCAGCTCAAGGAGACAAGGTCGCCAGTACCGGACAAAGGCCCACATAGGGTTGGATGAGCATTATACTTGATTGCATGATGGGCTTTCTTGTTCTGGTTGTAGCTCCTATACATCACTGACCTGGTGTATCTTGGATTTGCCTAACCGTACATTAGTAAGCATGGAAAGTGGAGGAAACATCTATTCATAGGAGTCCCCTCTCTTTCAAATGTTGTAGATATTCATGAGACCTTTGGAAGTGTGTTTGACTTTAGTTTGGTAAATACTCATGTGTTTTGTGAATTGTTTTTCGTCCGTAAGTGGAACATTGGTACAGCAGTACACATTTTCTGGAGGAATTAACTTGAATGGGCTTTTTTGAATCCATGATCTTCTACAGTTGGGGCTGCATTCCAAAACTTTTTTTACCCATTGAATGGACAAAATTTTCGTTTACTTACCCCTTGGCAGGGCGTAGAGAAGGACCAGTTTTTATGTGTTTGTGGAACAAAACGAAGTATATACAGCTACTTGGGTTAATTTTATAGAGTTTGGATATTGTTTAATAATCCAAGGCATTCAATGCGAGAGAATCAGAGGGAGATGTGATCTTTGGTCAGCGATTAGGAAGGCTATAAAATGAGCAGAAGGCAGTCCGCATTGGACACTATTATTGTGCATTCGGGCTATAGATGCTCTACAACTTCAATTGCTGCTTCCACACAAAAAACTAACGAGGGTTACATCAATCTTTGAGGGGCGGTTTGATAATGTTGCCAATTTTTTGTTTACGTAGGATAACCAAAAATTGGCGCAGGATTATCAAATTTTGCTGAAGGTAGGGAGAGTAGCTAAATCCTCTTGGCTTGGAAATTTTTTCCTTGAATTGCTAAATCCACGGCCATTATGCATATGGTGAGGGATTATTTAGCAGTCTTCTATTCCAAAGGAGTTTATAAACAAAATTCACATCATTTTGTAACGATTGCTGCTATATCCAGGACCAAAAATATATATATAGAAATAAATTCAGAATTTTATGTAACTAAAACAATCACTTTTTAAAACCAAAAAAAAATTATCCATCAAGATGCATAATTTTTTTTTGTTTTGAAAAAATAGACTTCTCTTTTGTCAAAATTCCTGTGTTAAAAATGCCTGACATGCAATTCTGCAAAAATTTTACTTGCCATCACAACTGTCAAGGGACCTATACCTATTAATTTGTTCCACTTTCCAAGACGAAGACAGCTGTATATCCACAAACATATCAGAAGCACAAGTAATTTCATTTCTGTTCACACAACAATCGTTGGTCCAAACATATAAAAGGCCATCATATATAAAGGGCCATCAACTCAGTACAAAGGGTGATATGCTGAAGTACAAACTGTCACCCTTCATCCTATGCATGAGTCGAAGACTCAAGTAAATGTAATACAACATTGTGATGCCTAATTTCAAAACTTTACCCAAAATACAAAAGGACCACACAACTTACATTTAGAGTTCTTGTGTTGGAAGGAAATACAGCCACCAGTTATTTGCTATATTTTCACTCCTAAAAATTTGTTGCAAAATAGTTACCGACCAACATACATTTGGCAGGGAGGACAGCAATACCACTTATACAAAAGAAACTGACACCACCAGCCTATAACAGACGCTTCCGGCAATCTGGTGCACCACAATAACACGCCATTTGCCTTACCTTGCCATCAAGACCAAGTACACTATCAACGGCATAGCCATAATCATATGTAAGCTCCTATGGTTAATCAAAGAGCAAGAGTTAGTTACCTCGTAATAATCCAAGCAGTCTAATACATGATTCTTTTAAGGTTAATTAGAAATCAAAACAGCAACAACAACAACAATATTAAGCCTGCGCAGCAGAAAAGGATAACTCGTAGGCAAAAATTACAAGACAGATTCTTTTGGTCTGTCTAGCAACAAGAAAACTGTTAAACAGACCAGAGAGTTTCTGTGATGAAAACTTTCAGAAAGAAAAGTCATTTATAAAAAATTTCCTTTATTAAAATTTTTTAGTATGTTATATTTGAACTAATCATGTAGAAACATAGAAGTGTATCCTAAATAAGTTCTTCACTTATATATGTAGGGAACTTCTATTTACACAAACATTGTCTCCTTGCACATTTTCTAATTAAACCATCTAAAATTCAAAATTATTATTTTATTTCATTACACCCTCCATAATCTCAAATATATCCCCATTCCTAACCTCATCCTCTCTTTACACCCTCTAAAATTTCAAGCCCTAACTTCACACCACCTCTAACCGCTAGAACCACCACCACCACAATCATTCACCCTTCCACCGCGACCAGCCTTGCCCAACCTCCACCCACTGTTGGAGAGAGAGAGAGAGATCTAACATTTAAGAAGAAAGGGTAGCAGCGGGAAAGAGAGGAGAGAGGTTGGGGATGGTGGTAGGGAGGAAAAGCGACTAGGTGGGGTGAGGTGAGGGGAGGGGCTTGGGTGGTAGTGAGTGGTGACAGATGGAGTGGCAGAGAAGGGATAGGTTGCAAGAGTGGGTGGCAGTGGTGATGGAAGGAAAAATTAGGGTTTTATATTTTAGAGTTTTGAGTACTTTTTGGTAATTTTAGTCAAGGATAAAATTGTAATAAGATAAAATGAAGATTTGAGGGTGTAAGGAGTGTTTGTGTGTGTGGTGTAAATAGAAGCTCCCTCATGGTGTATGCTAAGACACTAAAAAAGTATATATGCCATTCAATCGCATGCAGACATTCCAACCTTTGAGAACACTTAAGGCAGCAATTTTTTGGGAAGGGATTAATTCTTTCTGTTGTATGATTTATATCTGGGACCACGTCATTCATTAGCTCAAAGGTCACAAATTACTTGTGATAAAAGCATTTTATAGTCCTTTCATGTGGACAATGGGCAAAGCTTTAGGATAGCCACATGGAATGTAGAGACTTTAACTGATAGAACTATAGAATTGGTAGATGTCATGATTAGGAAGAGAATTAGGCCTCGTTTGGCATGCTAGTGTTTTAGCTTAAAAGCCAAATAGTTACTAAAAAAACCAAAACACCTATAACATATGCTAAAAAGTCAAATATTCCCTTTTCTCTTTGTTTTTTGCACATTTTTTTTGTAAAAAATCAAAAAGTCATTCCAAACATACTAGTTTTTTTTTTTTAAGCTCATATTTTAGCCAAAAAGCAAAAAAATTACTAAAATAGCCTATTTCCAAACGATGCCTTAGTATAGCTTGCATACAAAAAACTAAGCAGACGGATAAGAAAGCTAGAAAAATAGAGGATACCGGTTTTAAATTATCATATAGTGGCAACGTTAGACACAAAAATAAAGTAGAAATAATAGTTACCAAGGGTCTTGTAGAAAATGTAATTGTGGTCATTAGAAAAGGTGGTAGGATTATGTTAGTTAAGCTAGTTATTGAAAAGAATATAGTGAACATTATTAGTGCATACGCCCCCCAAGTAGGATAAGATGATTAGACTAAGAGAAATTTTTGGAACCAAATGGATGAGGTATTACAAGAGACATCCGTACGAAAGAACCTAGTTATAGGTGAAAATTTTGTCAATATAAGAAGAAAGACAAGCATTTGATGATCTTTAAGAGTTTGTCAATTAGGAGCTAAATAGATTAGTTTCTAATAAGAAAAATGGACCGTCTAAAATGCAACGACTGTAAAGTGATTCCTAAAAAGAACTTGACATCTCAACATAAGATTTTAATACTAAATTTATGCTTTAAAGGGCAATACCAAGTTAGGAAGTATAGTGAGCGCCATAGGACGTGATGGTAGGACCTAAAAATGAATAAATTAGAAATATTTAAGAATAGAATGGATAAATAATGTACTTGGGACTTAGAAGATGATGTTAACACTGTTAACCTTAATAGCCAATTATATGAGGAGAATCTCAAAAGAAGTCTTTGAAAAGTCAAAAAGAAAAAGACCCAACTCTAAGGAAATCTAGTGGTGACGGGAGGAGGTTTAAACGGTAGTAAAGAAGAAAAAAAAGTGCTTTAAAAAGTGACAAAAGTATAGAACTGAAGAAAACCTTAAAAGTTACAGATTAGCTAATAAGGAGGTCAAAAAAATAGTAAGAGAGGCTAAGTTGAAAGCCTATAATGACCTATACGCTAGACTAGATAGTAAAGAAGAAGAGAAAAAAATATATAAACTTACTAAGATAAGAGAGGAAAATAAGAAATTTTAATCAAGTTAAATGCGTTAAGAGTGAGGACTATAAGGTGTTGGTGAAAGATAAAGAGATAAAGAAAAGGTAGAAGAACTATTTTGAGAAGTTAAATGAAGAACATGGAGGAAGGTAAAAAAGGGAAGAAGTAACCAGTAATAAGGAAAATCAAAATTATAGATTTTATCGCAAAATTAGGATCTTTGAACTGAAAAATTACACTTAAGAAGATGAAATTGAATAAAGTTTTAAGACTTGATGATATCTATATTGAAGTTTAGAAATGTTTGGGTAAGAAAAGAATTCCTTGATTAACTAAATTATTTTGCAAGATTTTATTAACTAGGAAAATGCCAGAGTAGAGAAAAAGTATTTTAGTGTCATTCTATAAGAATAAAAAAAATATCCATAATTGCAACAACTATAGAAGAATCAAACTAATGTGTCATATAATGAAAGTATGGGAGAGAATGATCAAATGTCAATTGCGAGATATAATAGAAGTGTCAGAGAATCAACTGGGATTTATGCCTAGTAGATTAACAATGGAAGCGATCTATCTTTTGAGAAAAATAATAAAAAAATATAGAGAAACGAAAAGAGACATTCATATAATTTTTATTAATCTTGAGAAAGTATATGTTAGAGTGACTCGGAATATAATCTAGTGGGTGTTCGAGAAGAAATGGGTGACAAAAGAGTACATTGATCTGATTAGAGACATGTATGAAGGTGTGATAACTGCTATTAGATCGCTTGCTGGAAAACAAGTAAATTTTCAATTCCTGTAAGATTACACTAAGGATCAACCTTAAGTCCTTATCTTTTTGTTTTATTTATAAATGAGTTGACAAGAAATATTCAAGATGATGTGCTAGTGTATTTTTTTTTGCAGATGATATCATGTTAGTAGATGAGACAAGAAAAAGAGTTAACACTAAATTGGAAACTTTGAGAGAAGCCTTAAATCTAAAGGATTTAAGATAAGCAGAACTAAGACAAAGCACATGGAATCTAATTTTAGTAATAGTAACAATGGAAACAGAGGATAATTGAAGATTGAGAACCAAGAACTACCTAAGAGTGAGTATTTTCGTTATTTAGAATCGATTATCACAACGACTGAGGAGATTAGAGCGGATGTGATCCATAGAATTAAGATAGCGTAGCTTAAGTAGAGGAATGTGTCTAGAATACTGTGTGATAAACGAGTATCCATTAGACTAAAAAAAAAAATTCTATAGAACGACTATTAGACCAGCAATGCTGTATGGGACAGAATGTTGGGCAACTAAGAAACAATATGTAAATAAGATGAGTGTTGTTGAAATAAGGATACTAAGATGAATGTGTGGTAAGACTAAAAAAGACAGAGTTAGGAGTATATTCGTGAATAGGTAGGAATAATATCGATAGAAGATAAGTTGAGAGAAAATAGATTGAGATAGTTTGATCATATACAACAGAAACCAACAGAGGCAGTAGTGAACAGATACAATACATTGACGGTAGATAGAAGTGTTCAGGAAAAGGACAAACCTAGATTAACGTGGACTAATGTAGTAAATAGATATATACATCTCCTTAATTTGACTAACTAAATAGCCATTGATAGAGTCAAGTAGGGAATCAAGATTCATGTAGCAAACCCCATTTGATGGGACGTAAGACTTGATTTAGTTTGGTTTGATTTGATTTGGTTTATCAGTGAAAGATGTACTACTTAATATTAGGAACATGGAAAATAAGTTTTCAGAGAGAAAATAACCTTCAATGGAGGTATGTTGTCCGCTGCAAACAGAACTACCCTTGCTTGCTTGATGTCATGATGTGAACTCAGAACACATTGTACAAAAAGATTAGGCTGGCAACTGTGATTGATGAATCTGGCAACATTCCCTGTGGTACCTGCATCAATGCAAAACTCTGGCACAGTTGCAGATTTATGATCACCACTTTTGTCCAGGTATGTGGGTATAGATACATCTCGCAATCGCCTCTGTTCAAAAAATAAGGTCAATTAATGCAAATTTAATGGACCATAACGGGTAAAAACTATTTTACAAAATGACAGCAGCAAAATTAAATGAAAAGAAAAAAGGTACTCAACGTCATTATCGTTCAAAGATTAGAGGAATGTCTAAGGTGATACTGTTCACACAATTCAAAGCTTGAGCAATCACCTCCACATCAGTCTCAATCTTTAAATTTCTGAACCCTCAAGACTTGGCCAAACAACAATGCTACACTTCAACACATTTCTATACCATATCATGCATACCATCTTATTTATCAACACAATACTGGTGTAATGGGTCTCACCACTAACACATAATAGATGGTCATTGTAGGCATTACTCCTTGGCCAAATTAATACATTTCTCAAACTGCAAGCAACTCAGCAATACTGCAAGACTTCACACCTAGAACAACTTTAAGGTTAATGCCTACAATCTTTTTCCATGGTGATAGCGTCCAACCACACCCAAACCAGCCTCTTTTTTGCTTACTGAGAGTGCAGCATACTCATTAACTTTTACATGCCGTGGAGAGGTCTCAGCAACCTGGCTATGTCTTGAGCAGTTCCAGACTGAGCAAGATTGGGTGAGACAGAAGTCAGTGCCTCTGTGCACCCACATATTCATGACATGCTGCGAGAGCCTTACTACATATAGTGGTCGTTTCTCATCAATGATTAGAGAAGTCCTAGACATTACAAGGGTTTCATATAATACAAGTACATGACCACGCTAAGGGTTGTTTCGGAAATAGGCTAAAATAGCCAAAAAGCCACTACAAAAAAGTCAACTAGTTTCTCTACTTTTCTACATGTCTTTTCGTAAAAAGTCAAAAAAACCAAATAAAATAGTCAATTCCCAAAATAACCCTAAATATCTCCCTAGGAGAATCAAATCATTGGGATACATGATTATATTTATAACCACCCACTTTGTTGAATAAAATGAGGAATTTTACACAGCTAAAGGATTTGATCAAGCCTGCAAAAACAAGAGTAATGGCACATCGATATGATGTGTGGCACACTTGATCCCATCTTTTTAAAGAATATTGATGAAAGGAATGAATGGTTGCTTACAGGGTGGATAGAGAATCGAATGAAGATGATTATCTTGCGCTGGAAAATGATATTTGTCATCAGATGCATTTCAATGTTTTATTTCACCTCCTACATGTATCCACACAACAAATTGCATGTGTACATATAGGATCCACTATATTTTAGAAAAAATGGGAGCCACCACCCACACAGGAAAAAACTTAGGAAGTTAAAAGAGTTTCTGTGAAATATTTCAGTGATGTAAAGAAACCCCTTCCCACATTTGATGATGATATTTTGACATTGGGTAATGTTGCTACAACTTCTCGAGTTGAAGCAAGTAGTTAGGGAACTATAGCAACATCAACTTTAAGGCATTGCCAAGGGGTTCTAGATCATAAAATGCCTACAACTGATAGATGAAGAAGAAGCAGGTTTAGAGGTGACAGAAGAGGAAGATGTGGATGGATAAAACCAAAAGCTTGTTGCTTTCTGCTAAAAAAACTGAGGATCCACTCTACTTTCTTTTAGATTTTAAAAAAGCAATTGTCAAACTCCACATTAGATAAGCCCAAGAAAAGGGCAAGTTGCAAGAAATTTCAAACAATTAGAAAAAGACAAGAACAAAAGCAACTATTTAGAGAACAATAAAATGACATCCACGGCATCAAATTCAAGATAATCAAACTGAAATCGTCTAACTTTTAGACAGAGATAATTCCAACAATAGAAAAGAATAAGGGAAGACAAATTATTCTGAAGTATTTTGAATAGCCATATTCATACCTCTCTTCCATCAAGCCCCTCCATTGTTTGTAAACAATCAATGTCAAAAATATAATTATTTTCATAAGAGGTGTCTATCTCATCTGTCTTCATGAGAATTCCTACGTATTCACACACTGGCGCCCCAGAAGGAATATAATCCCAAGATCTCACACCCCAACCTTTCTTTGGAGTGCGGAAAACCTGTTAAAAATAGAATATTAAAATCCACAAATGTGCAAGTCAATGTATATTGATGAGTCAACAACCAAACTATAAAACAATATAGTATGCTATAGTTATGGAACCTCAAGTCGATATCTCAGCCCTCTCTGTGAAGTACGGTTAACACATCCAGGTCCACAGCCACAACTTGGACCACACTCGAACACAACAGCTTGGGGCTCAACTAATCTAGAAGTACAAGTCAACACAAAGACCAAGTAAACAAATTGACTAATTAATAACATGTAAATTGTCGACAATTATTTGTTACCGTAGCCGTGTTCAACATGTGTCGTATACCGACAAGCTTCGAACACACAGGAATACATATCGAGCATGCCACATGACAGGTCCTATTTTTTAATTATTTTTTTTCTACACAAACACATTGGGGACACGTCACGAACATGCAAGAGTTTCTAGACACGCCCCAAGCATGATTATCTTGCCATGAACTGTTAAAGGAGTCCTCATGAATTCATAATCACCACTATGTAAACATGTTGTCTGTGTTAGTCATTGTTATGTAGTACTCTCTATCTTATTCCTTAAACAATACAAATAATTAGTATTTCCTCCCTTAATTTCAAAATAATTGTTTGATTGTTGAAGTTGTTGAATTGTCATTCTAAATTAGTGTTTGATTGTTGAACTAGCTAATTTTCTTTTTTGCTTTTTTTACTTGTAATGGTTCTAGAAGAACTAGTCTTCTTTGACTTGTGTTAGTAGCACACCCACAATTTTGATGTTGTTGAAAGCAAACAACTCTAATATAATGGTTTATGATTGATAAAATGATATGTACATATTGACAAAATTAACATATAAATTGAGTTGTTTTTCCACATTGAATTAAAATTTTAGTTCATTGTTCTTAGTAATTTGTGGATGTAAGATTCATATACATGGCAAATAAAATATATTAAAAGATTATATTGTTGTATCCTCATCATCTTCGTCTCATGATTTTTTTGAAAATTGATGTGTGCCTTTTGGTGTTCATGACCATATCTGTAGGGGTGCAACTCAGGTTGGGCCCACCTGAGCCCGGCCCAAAAAATTTTGAACCTTGGGCAAAATTTCAAAATTCTAAGTTAAATTTGGGACAGGCTTAAGTAAGACAACAACCAATCTGAGCAACTCACAGGCCAAATTCTATATATAAATATTAAATATACATATAAGTTATCAACTGTTAAATGATGTTAAAATAATCTGGACCTTTAGATCATCGTATTCACTATATATGTCGTGCACACAAGTAACACTATAATACCTACCATTTTCCACAATGGGACAACATTCACTTGGTAAGATTTTTCTAATATTAAATTTAAATGTATTTTGGCAGATTCTTTGAAACTTTTTGCTGTAATTCATTTCATTCTTACCTGCCACCATCACGACGAACATATGGAAAGTCTGAGCCATTAAGTCTAGCACAAGCACAGATCCTGGGATCTATACAGGTACCTTTGCAAACACATCCAGTGGCATTACTGGGTAGCTCTACGCTTTTTGCTACTTGAATGCTTTTGCAATATGTGAAACCTGATATTTTTAAGAGTTCAACACCAAAAGTGATTCGAGATTTATGCAACAAAGCAGATGAGTTGAAAAGAGAGATATAGAGTTGCCATTGAGTCAAAAATAAGAAGACTAGTAACTATAGCTCACCAACAAACAACATAAAAAAAGGTTGCACCTAGTGCACCAAACCCCCTCTTATAGCAAGGTCTGTAGAGGCTGAGTCCGATACCAACAAAGAACATAGATAACATAAACGTATATTGAACACAACCACCAAACGGACGGTAACAGGTATAGAATTCGAAACAAAGATAGTTTGAAGGATGAGTTCATGTAAGGGAATGGTTTTGGTTCAACGCAACTAAGAAGAGGTGCACCCCACTATATATCAACAACCCAAATTCACTTTCAAACCCACAAAAAAATGTAGTTTATTACTAGGGGCTAGAAGCATTAGCCACTCTCTCAATCTGATAAAGCAAAAAATTATTCTTTTCATAGCAATAAAGAGAATTAAAATTGTGAATGCATCACAAGATGTGCAATTCATGCAAAGCACCTTGAGACCCCAACCCGAGGTTGAGTTTAGATTGATGACTTTGAAATAAAAAGATTTAGGGCTTAAAGTTAAATTTTTATAAGGGTTAGGGACATTTGATTTACTAGAACCCTTGTGCAATTGGATCCCTTCTTGGCATGGATTTCTGCTGATGTGTGTACAGCTAGGGATTAGTTGTTCTTTTTTAGTTATTTATAGTAGCTGTTAATTAGATTAGTTGTACTAGTTGTATTAGTTAATTGTAAATCTTTTCCTTTTCTGTATTTCCTTGTATAACTATATATACCTCCATATTGGAGAAGAATAAAATAATCTGCTCTATTCCAGCATGGTATCGGAGCGTTGATCCTAAAACTTTTCCTCTGTTTTTCCTCCAGTGATTTTTACCCTAAAATATTACCCGACCAATTCCGATCTGGCCTGAAAAGTTTGTCGCTGCCACTGTCGCTGGAAACTGCTTTACCGCCTCTGCTGTGTAATCTTTCTGCCGATTACTGCTATTCTTCCAATTCACTCTCAACATGGGTAACAGAAAATCTGTTGCTACCCCTTCTCCTGCTACTGTGACTGTGCAGCAAGACAACATGTCTCTACAAATCACCCCAAACAAATTGGATGGCTCAAATTACTCCATGTGGTCTCAGAGTGTGGAGATGTATATCACAGGAAGAGGAAAAATGCAATATTTAACCAGAAAAAAACCTAAACCCGATGAAACATGTAATAACCCCAAAATGCGTATAAGAAATCATCTTTATTTAACTATGAGATGATGTGCTTTAATTTAATTATATCTATTGGAATTGAAGCATTATCTGTTGAGTTACGGATTTAAAATTGAAATTACCGACCTATATGAGTTCAGAAATCAAAATTGAGTTCTTGGATATGTTAATGGGAATTTTCGGAACTATTTGGGAAAGTTAATTGGAAAGCTAATTTATCTGAGTCGTTAATGCACGTTTGGGTGGTTAACTTTATACTGTAAATTGAAGGCCTTAGAGGTTTCAGAAACCTGAACAGGGGACATATTTATGATCAGCATAATTCTTAGAGTTATCTGGGAAGTTTAATTGAAATTTGATTCCGTACGATTCGTAAGGCCACGTTTGGCTCTCCCTATTGTGTTATGTTAGCGTGTGTGTGTATATTTATATAATGGGTGCCTTATGAGTGGATGGAATCATCTCTTAGAATCAAAAAAATATTTAGAGGAAAGGGGGAGCCACGTGAGAGAGGGAGAGATAGAGAACTCAAGGAGAAGAAGGAAGGAAGAGCTTGAGAATGAAGAGGAAAGATGGGGAAATTTATGGAATTAAAGTAAGCTTCAAGAGATTGGCTCTAGGTATGTGAAATCAACTTAACCCCTTAAGATTGATCTATTATTAGTTTAAATTCATGATCTAAAATGAAGAGAAATCAACTAATTGAGTTGGGGTTGAGAGATATAAGTTTAGATGAACTCTTTTCATGAATTGAACCTTGATTCCTTAAGAGTTGTTTAATTGAAGAATTAAATTCTTTATGTTGGTTTATCTTGAGGTTGATTGTGGAAGTGAGCTTGAATCCCAAATCATGGCTATTTTATGCTTTTGGTGTTTTAATTTTTACCCTTGTTTTGTGCTTGGGAATTGGGTAGTATTTTGAGATTATGATGCTTAATGGAAGATAAGAATGTAAAATTTATCATGTATTGAAGGGTTTTAAGCTTGGAACTACATGAAATTGAAGTTTGGGTTTGAAATGAGAAGTTCCAAATCAAAGAGCTTGTGTGTGTTTTTTTGTTTTTTGTTTTTTTAATGTTATCTGTGTCGTGAGGCGAATAAGATTTTGTTGGAGGCACCACTAGATGTGTGCTAAACTTATTGTGTTTATTCTTGATTAGGATGTCAAGGTGAGGAAGGATGATTTTTTCTTCTTCCACACGGGAAGAATGAGGAAACAATTTGTGGAGTTGCGCCAAGGCACCTTTGGCACAGTTTGAGGCATGGTTTACTAACTTGTCGAGGTTTTCTCCGGAGTTGGTGGAAACTGAGGAGCTTCGTTGTTCAGAGTTTGAGAGAAGATTATGTGATGATATCCGGGGGAGGATTGTTGGGGCTTGGCAAAGAAATTATCATGCACTTGTTAAAGCAGCGGCTTATGTGGAGATCGCAGTCTTAGTCATGGGACAGAGTGGGGAGGAAGCTATTTCAGTGACTCTTGCAGCTCGGGGTCATGGTAGACCTTTTAAGAACCACAGGAGGGCAAGGTTGATGGCTCAACCAATAATTGCACCACGGGGACCATCTAGTCAACTGAAATCTAGGGTGTTTTGGGGCTCACAAGGGAAGTAGTCGTCCAGACCTTTACCTGCTTAGGGGACTGCTTACTTGTTCCATGTGTGGCCAGACGGGCCATATTAGATGAGTATGGAGGCTTCTTAAGCTCTCGAATTGTGTAAGTCAATCATGTTAATTTCATCATATGATCGGTCTGTATAATTGCCTATCTAAGACATTTAAAAGTTGTTTATGAATTTTTAAAGAACTTGTTGATGTGTGTGCAGCTAGGGATTAGTTGTCCTTTTTAGTTATTCATAGTAGTTGTTAATTAGATTAGTTGTATTTTAGTTAATTGTAAATCTTTTCCTTTTTTGTATTGCCTTGTATAGCTATATATACCTCTATATTGGAGAAGAATAAAATAATCTGCTATATTCCAGCATGGTATCAGAGCATTGATCCTAAAAATTTTCCTTTTTTTTTTTCTCCAGCGATTTTTAGGCTAACATATTATCCAACCAATTCCGATTTGGTCTGAAAAGTTTGCCGCTGCCACTATCGCTGGAAACTGCTTTACAGCCGCTACTATGCAATCTTTCTACCGATTATTGCTATTCTTCCCATTTACTCTCAACATGGGTGATGAAAACTTTGTTGCTACCCGTTCTCCGGCTACTGTGACTATGCAGTAGGACAACATGTCTCTACAAATCACCCTAGACAATTTGGATGGCTCAAATTACTCCACAGGGTCTCAAAGCGTGGAGATGTATATCACAGGAAGAGGAAAAGTGCAGTATTTAACTGGAAAAAAAAAACCTAAACCCAATGAAACAGATGTTGCTTACTCTACTTGGTTGGAGGATAATGCCATGGTTAAATCTTGGCTTGTTAATTCAATGACCTCTAATGTTAGGGTTGTGTTTCTTCATCTCCCTACTGCTCATAATGTTTGGGATGCGGTTTCCCAAACCTATTTTGTGGGCAAGGATGCTTCACAGATGTATGAACTCCGATGTCGGCCTCATGAGACACGCCAGAATGGTAAGTCTGTGGTTGATTACTATGGTGCTCTTCAACATATTTGGTAGGAATTGGACTACCTTCATCTGAGTGCAATGAAGTGTGCCATAGATGCTACCACTCAGAAAAAGGAGATTGAAGAGGATCGTTTATATGATTTTTTGGCTGGTCTTGATCCTAGTTTGGACTAGGTTCAGAGTCAAGTCTTGGTTCAAGATTATCTTCCTAGTGTCCGTAATGCTTTTGCTTTCGTACGTCGTGAAGAGCTTTATCAGACTACTATGTTAGCTAGTGCTTCTCCTCGGTCTCTGCTGATGGGTTCAGATATGACTTTTGATAATTCTTAATCACCATAATTGTTTTCTGGATCAAAAAATTTTGGCAACAGGAAGTGCACCTATTGTGGTACCAATCACGTGCGAGAAACATGTTTTAAATTGAATGGATATCCAGAGTGGTTTGTTCAGAAGAAGGGAACTAAAAACAAAGGGAGCAATCTAGGACCTTAGGCTTATCATACCTCTATAGACTCTTAAGCTTCTGTCCCTTCTCTAGTAGATCAATCTACTCAACAGCTTTCGCTGGCTAATAATACTTCTACTTTCTCAGCCAACACAGGTAATTTTGGATTCACTTTGAGTACCACTCTTGTTCCTTCTGTTAACCCTTGGATCATAGATTCAGGAGTTTTAGATCATATGACCAATGACTCTTAACTGTTTGCTTCCTATACCACTTCTCCTAGAAATACTATTAAGGTTGCTAACGGTCTTTCTACCCCAGTTCTTGGGGCTGGTTCTATTCCTTTATCATCTTCTCTATCTCTTTCATCAGTACTACATGTTCCTAGCCTCTCTAATAATTTATTGTCTATTAGCCAGATTACTAAGCATCTTAATTGTTGTGTAACCTTCTTTTCCACTTACTGTCTTTTTTAAGATATTCTTACGAATAAGACTATTGGTCTTGGTAGAGAAAGTGGGGGTCTATATTACTTGGACTTGAAAAAATCACCTGTTTTAGAGGCTGGCCATGTGTATCAAGTGGGGACTGAAGCATCTAAGACTTAAGAGAAGATTTGGTTATGGCATAGGAGATTGGGACATCCATCGTTTCAGTATTTGCAACATCCAGTGTTTTTTAAGGCGCAAAGCGAACCGAGACGACAAGGTCTCCTAACTCCTAAGTGCGAGGCGAGGTGAGGGCTTCATCGAATCGAGGCGACCATAAATGATATTTTTTTAAAATAAATGGTACAGACAAAAATATAAATATTTTCAAGAACCATCATGCAGTTATCATTCCAAATACTAAATATCCATAAACAAAAGAAAATAATTAATTGAATTAATTGAATAACCAGGAAATTAATTGAATTAATTGAATTAAAATAAACAAATTAATTGAATTTGGCTTGGTTTGGGGTACACTAAATAATACAAAAAATCAAAAAGTCACTATCTTATTTAAGTCACATCACCTTATTTAAATCACACCACCTCTTTTTTAGAACATCCCAAACCAACCCTTAATTGAAATAAACAAATTAATTGAATTAATTGAATAAAATAATTAATTGAATAACCAGGAAATTAATTGAATTAATTGAAATTTTAACACAAAAAAAAAATAATTGAATTAATTGAAAAAAAATTAATTTTAAAATAATTGAATTAATTTTAAAAATTAATTTTTGCGAATTAATTTTTGCGAATTAAAAATTAATTTTAAAAAATAATTGAATTAATTTTAACACAAGGCTCGACAGTGAACCCAGGTGAAGTCGAAGGAAAGAAGAAAAAAATAAACAAAGGAAGAACAGGGGGAAGAAAGGAGGGGTCCAACAGTGAACCCAGGTGAAGTCGAAGGGAAGATAAAGAAGAAGGAAGAAGGAACTCACCTGTAATCAACGTCCGAAGAAAGAAAAAGAAGACCCAGCAGAAGTCGACTTCGATATGCCCTTTAATGTCGACGAACGAAGTCGATCTAGGGTTTGGACTTCTTATTTAGTAGATAGCAATTATAAAACTAATTAACTTCGTCGATGAAGGGCCCAGATGATTCAAACGAAGTCGATGAAGGGCCCAGATGATTCGAACTGAAATCAGGCAAAAAACTAGTGAGGCGCCGCTTCATTTCGCCTCACGCTTCATCGCCTAAGCCTCGCTTCAGGCGCTTCTCCATCGCCTCACCATTTCGCCTCGCCTCGCTTAGCGCTTAGGCGAGCGCTTAGGCTCACCTCTAATAACACTGGCAACATTTATTTCCATCTTTATTTTCTAAAGTCAATGTTTCTAGTTTTTAGTGTGAATCTTGCATTTATGCAACAAAATATTATCGTGTTTCTTTTCCTTTAAGTTTCAATAAAAATGATGTTCCTTTCTCTTTAATTCATACTAATGTATAGGGACCATTTCGAATTCTTACATATACTGGTGCTCAGTGGTTTGTTTCGTTTGTTGATGATTGTACACATGTATCTTGGGTATATTTGATGAAAGCCAAAAGTGATGTCTTTTTTATTTTTCAAACTTTTCATCAAATGCTTCGTACCCAGTTTAATGCTAAAGTGCAAGTTATTAGGTTTGATAACGGGAGGGAGAATCTAAATCATAATGCTATTTTATCCAACATGGCATAATTCATCAAACATCCAGTACATCTACCCCTTAACAGAATGGTATAGCCGAGCATAAAAATCATCACCTCTTAGAAGTGGCTCGATCTTTATGCTATGCTATGCATGTCACAAAGCAGTTTTGGGGTGATGCCATCCTTACAGTTGCATTTTTTTATAAATCGTATGCCATCCCATGTCCTCCAGTTCAAAACACCTCTCCATACTTTATCTCAGTATCATTCTCTTCTTTCTCTTCTCAATATCCCACCAAAAGTTTTTGGGTGTCTGTTATATTCATGTTCATCACCATCAACATGGTAAGATGGATCCCCGTGCCCTTAAGTGTTTTTTTGTGGGTTATTCTCCTACTCAAAAAGAGTACAGGTGTAATCATCCTCCCTTTGGAAAAGTGTACGTCTCTATGGATGTTACCTTCCTTGAACAACAAGCTTATTTTTCAGGGGACACTTCTAACACTTCTCTTCAAGGGGAGATCGGAAGTAAGGAAAACTAGAAGTTGTCTTGCGATAGAATGACAATACCAACAGTGTCAAGATTGGAGATCACACCACCAATCACTAAATTGCCTAAAGAAAAGGAATTGGGAGTGTATGCAAGAAGGACGAAAAATCAAGAAAGTCAGGATCAAGAAGATATCCAAGTCAGTCAGATAGACCCTACTCTTGAACAACCAGACCAATCGGCTACTTCTCTTAAGAATATCTACGAGAATCGTCCTAACCTTGAGGTAATTCCTAAACTTTTTTCTCCGGTTAATACTCGAATAGAATCCAGCGTTTCTATAGATTCTATTGATCCGGTTGATGATTCAGAGTTACCTATTGCTTTGAGGAGACAATCCTGTATTTGTCAATCAAAGCATAAATATCCTATTTCGATCTACATATCATCTCATCGTTTGTCTGATTCCTATGTGGCATTTGCAAACCATTTGTCTTATGTATCCACTCATAATTTACAAGATGCTCTTGGTAATCCTAAGTGGAAAAATGCTATGGTTGAAGAAATGGAAGCACTTCAGAGGAATTCTACTTGGAATTTGGTTGAACTACCTAAAGGTAAGAAGACTGTGGGTTGCAAATGGGTTTTCACGGTGAAACATAAAGGTGACGGATCTGTGGAAAGGTATAAGGCTCGGTTGGTGGCCAAAGGTTATACACAAACCAATGGAATTGACTATCAAGAGACTTTTGAACCAGTGGCCAAGATTAATACTATCTGAGTACTTTTGTCTTTAGCTGCAAATTTAGATTGGCCCTTGCAACAATTTGATGTGAAGAATGCTTTTTTGCATGGGGAATTGGAGGAAGAAGTATATATAGACCATCCTCCTGAGTTTACTATGGCCTCTGATGTTGGGAAGGTTTATAAGTTGAACAAATCTTTATATGGGCTAAAACAATCCCCACGAGTATGGTTTGGCTAGTTCAGTCAATCTATGAAGAATTATGGATTCAAACAAAGTCAAGCGAATCATACTCTATTCCTCAAATATGATAGAGGTAAATTTACAGCTTTGATTGTGTATGTTGATGATATGGTAGTTACAGGTAATGATTGCGAAGAAATAGGAAGGCTGTGAGATTATCTCGCAAAAGAGTTTGAGGTGAAAGACCTTGGTACCCTAAGGTATTTTTTAGACATTGAGGTTGCTCGATCTAGGCGGGGTATTTTCCTATCTCAAAGAAAGTACGTTTTGGACCTATTGACCGAAACCGAAATGCTAGCCTGCCAACCTATAAATACTCCAATTAAGCAAAATCACAGATTGGGGGATGACCGTGTTGATCAGGTTCCAGCTAACAAAGAGAGGTACCAAAGGTTAGTTGAGAGATTGATTTACTTATCTCACACACGACCAGATTTGGCTTATGCTGTAAGGGAGTCAATTTATGCATTCACCTAATGAAGCGTATATGGATGTTGTTCATCGGACCCTCAAGTATTTGAAATCCGCACACCTAGTAAGGGTTTAATGTTTTCTAAACATGATCATCTAAATGCTGAGGGGTATACAGATGTTGATTGGGCGGGATCAATTACTGATCGAAAGTCTACTTCTCTATACTTCACATGTGTTGGATGAAACTTAATCACATGGAGTAGAAAAAAATAGAAAGTTGTGGCTAGGTCAAGTGCTAAGGCAAAATACAGGGCCATGTCACATGGTGTTTGTGAGTTGTTGTTGTTAAAGATCTTGATGGGAGAATTGGGTTTTAATCCTAATAAACCAATCAATCTTTATTGTGACAACAAAGTTGCTATTTGTTAAAATCTACCATCACCTACTCCACCTACTACACCTACCACCACCTACCACCACCTACTACACACCTACCACTACCACCTACTACCACCTACTCCACTACATCTCCTATATAAGGAGCCCCTCACCATTTGTAATAAATATAACATCAATCAATAATACAATTCTCTATTTTTCTATACATCAATTTTAACATGGTATCAGAGCAGGTTTAGAACCTAATATTTTCGCTTCCCCGGCGGGCGGCAATCTCACCTTAGCCGCCCGTCGAACCTCAACCTAGTCCGCTAAGATTTTTTTATACATACCTCGCCAGAGCAAAACCTCCAAAAGCCCTACCCTTCGCCGCCCACCACCGCCGTTGACGGCGGCGCAACCAGCACTCATCTTCTTCCAATCTAACCAAATCAGAATCTCTTACAATGGCTGCGGCGGGAGTGGCTTCTTCGGACGTGACCGAAGGACCAGTTCTCAGAGCAGTGATCGCAGAGTTCATAGCCACACTCCTCTTCCTCTATGTCACTGTCGCCACAGTCATCGGTCCCAAGAAGCAAACCGGACCATGCGACGGCGTCGGAATCCTCGGCATCGCATGGTCCTTCGGCGGCATGATCTTCGTCTTCGTCTCTCTTGCAGGCAAAATGAGAGAGATTCTTCACATTCAAGGTGGACAATGCGGAAATCAGATCAGATCAAAATTTTGGGAAGTTGTTTGTGATGAACATGGCATAGATCCTACTGGAAGATATGTTGGAACTTCAGATTTGCAGCTCGAACGCGTCAATGTCTACTACAATGAGGCTTCTTGTGGGAGGTTTGTTCCTCGTGCTGTGCTCATGGATCTTGAGCTAGGCACCATGGACAGTGTTCGCACTGGTCCGTATGGCCACATCTTCCGCCCTGATAACTTTGTTTTCGGTCAGTCTGGTGCTGGAAATAACTGGGCCAAAGGACATTACACTGAGGGTGCAGAACTTATTGATTCAGTTCTTGATGTTGTGAGGAAGGAGGCCGAGAACTGTGACTGTCTTCAAGGTTTTCAAGTCTGCCATTCCCTGGGTGGAGGAACAGGTTCTGGGATGGGTACCTTGCTTTCTTTCTACCCGTGCACCCCCCGAGGGACAGCCACTGCTGTGTTGTTTTTTGAGAAGAGTCAGACAACTTGCATCGAAATTCCTCTCTCTCACTTTACTTTTTCAAACCCACAGCTCCTTTTGCTTTCACCACATGATCCCCTTTCTTTTCTTTTCTTTATTTTTCATTTTCAAACGCACAATCCTTTTTTTAATCAACCCACTCAACTTTCTTTTATTTTAATATATATCTATATATCTTTATGTTTCTTATAATATATTGCACCGACTCTGTCTACTTTTGCACAAACCCATTTTCTTTTCTTCTTTTCTTTCTTTATTTATTTCTTTCTTTTCATTCCTTTATTACATCTATACCCATATCCATCATCACCCTCTTTCTTTATTTATTTCTTTTAATCACCTTTTGCACCTCCCTCACCGACTCCCTCACCACAAAATAGAATTTTTATTTATTTATCTTATCTTTTTTGTGTTCCCTTTTTCACAATAAAAAAAAAAAAAAAAGAATTCTATTCCCCTCGACTACATGTACAAATAAAGTGGTAAAAAAATGAGTATAATAATAAGTTATAAAGAGTCAATGTATTCATGGGAAAATCCCCCCATGATGGAGTTTATTAAAATTTTTTGGCTGATGGAGGGATCAAATGGTATAGTTCATTTGTTGGTAGCTTGGAGGATTAAAAGCATGACTATTGCTTTCCAATTGGCTGTTTTTGCATTAATTGCTACTTCATCAATCTTATTGATTAGTGTACCCGTTGTATTTGCTTCTCCTGATGGTTGGTCAAGTAACAAAAATGTTGTATTTTCCGGTACATCCTTATGGATTGGATTAGTTTTTCTGGTGGGTATCCTTAATTCTCTAATCTCTTGAACCTATTCATCCCAGCTCCAAAAACGAAATGACCCCCCTGATTTATTTTCGGTTGTGAGACATCCACTGCAGCATATGGCGGACCTCCAAATCGGAACATCACGGTGGCCTTCCGCTTCAGCTCCTTATTTTCCGCCTTTAGCACACTTATTTCTGCTCGCGCATCTTTATACATGCGTTGGAGCAGAGCCAGTTGGGCGTTTAACTGTTGCACCTCATTTGTCCTACTCTGCAGCCGGTGCGACAGGTTTGTGACCGTCATCATGGTCTCCACACATGACTTCAAAGTATACTGATTGGCCTCAATATCAGTTTGCACCGCCATTTTTTGCTCCACCGACCGCATCGGAAAGTTCAACGGAGCAAAACCAGAGGCGCTTGGTTGAGGTTCACTGGCCACCGCACCAGTTATTTCTCTTGTTGACTCGTTGAGGTCGGGAAAGAGAGTGAGCAGACCACGGGACGAAGAGGCCATATTCTGGGTAGCTGAACGGGAAGACGAGACCATTTTCTGGGCAACAGAGTGTTCCAGAATCTCTTTCTCAGACACGGAAGAGGTTTTTCAAAGGATTTTAGCAGGTTTTTTTGTCTCAGCCTCTGCCTCTGCCTCTGCCTCCGTCTTGGTTAAATAGCCGAGGCAGACACGCGTATCGTGCGCCTCTTGACGCCAGACGACAAAACGGGCGCGCAAGCCAATGTGGTGACGCGCCTCGCCATCATGTCCGGCACATCTTTTTATGACTTGGGCTCGCCTTTTGATGGCACGCCTTTTGAAAAAATTGGGCACACCTTTTGAGGGTGCGACTTTTTAAGGGTCCGACAAGACTCTGTAAACTGTCCCGACATTGATTCCGGTTAGCTCCTTCATGGGTCCGACAAGACTCTGTAAACTGTCACAACAACTGTCACAACATTGTCTGCTACAACGGTCCGACATGACCCCATAAACTGTCTTCTACATCGGTCTGCCATAACTATACAGTCTTCTACAACGGTCTGACACGACCATACAGTGTCTCTTATCCATTTTTATTTTATTTTATTTTTCTGTTTTGTTACTCTCTCCACACTCAAGTTGGTTAGTTCCTATCCCCCTTGAGTTTGCGGGGGGCTGTTAAAATCTACCATCACCTACTCCACCTACTACACCTACCACCACCTACCACCACCTACTACACACCTACCACTACCACCTACTACCACCTACTCCACTACATCTCCTATATAAGGAGCCCCTCACCATTTGTAATAAATATAACATCAATCAATAATACAATTCTCTATTTTTCTATACATCAATTTTAACACTATTAGTATTGCACATAATCCAATTCAACATGATTGTACTAAACATGTTGAAGTGGATAGACACTTCATCAAGAAGAAATTGGCTAATGGGATTATCAGCATGCCTTTTGTGAAATCTAAAAACCACTTAGCAGATATCTTGACAAAGGCAGTATCAAGTCGAGTTTTATGTTCCACAATTGTCAAGTTGGGTATCCACAATATCTACGCTCCAACTTTAGAGGGAGTGTTGATGTGTGTATAGCTAGGGATTAGTTGTTCTTTTTTAGTTATTTATAGTAGCTTGTATTAGTTAATTGTAAATCTTTTCCTTTTCTGTATTGCCTTGTATAGCTATATATACCTCCATATTGGAGAAGAAAAAAATAATCTGCTCTATTCCGGCAATTTCAAATAACTTCTTTCACCTCATCATTTCAAATCCACTCATAAGCTCTCCAATGTGACCTTGCATCTTGTTAAAACTTAGGCCTTGTATGGGAACAGGCTAATTTAGTAACTTTTTGGCTATTTGGCTAAAATATGAACTAAAAAAACTAGTATGTTTGGGAAGACTTTTTGACTTTTTACGAAAAAGCTATATATACCTGCATATTGGAGAAGAAAAAAATAATCTGCTCTATTCCGGCAATTTCAAATAACTTCTTTCACCTCATCATTTCAAATCCACTCATAAGCTCTCCAATGTGACCTTGCATCTTGTTAATTGTAAGCTATTAAATATAGAACATAAGCTTCAATCCTTGAGCGATTAAACTCAAATCCATTTACTAGAATTACTTCAATCCAAATTCAACTAAAAAAATCTTATTAGCGCTGCTGCATAGATGAAAAATCTTTTATTCTAATGAAATTTTGAGGCACATGAACCACCATCGTTCTCCATTCAACTCATCAATAAAAGATTCAACTATCATAATATCAAAGTATCCTTCTCAATTCAGTTTTAAGTCTACCTCTCACATCACCCCACCTTAAAACTTTAGCAAGATTCTTTGGCTAAGTTTCCTACATTTTATCTTTCTGCAGCAGAGAGAGAGTATTATGAAAAGGTGGGGTGAATTGAGATGGGAATTAGGCTAAAATCTTGCCCAACAGAGAAAAAGATAGATTGAAAAAATAAATAATTAAGGCAGCCTAGTGCGCAAGGCTTCTACAATTGGCGGGTCTGGGAAGGGTTAAATGTACTCAATCTTTCCCCACATGCGGAGAGACTATTTCCATGTATCAAACCCATGACGTGCAGGTCACAATGTAACAACCTTATCGTTGTGGCAAAAAAAAAAAAAACAATAATAAATTGTCCACTTCATTGGGAGAAAAAGAAAGGCAGAAAATTTATAACTGACCAAAAATCTCAAATACTGTAGTTCAAAACCAAATTGAGACGATGCATCAAATCAAGCAAAGACAAACTAAAAATAAAATGCTAGTCATCAAACATTAAAAAACTATTTGATGATACATTTGCAGTTACTGAAAAGTAAACTTGCCTGTGGGTGCAACAGGTGGGTCATCAACCATATTGGTAGCAGGGATGGGAATATCCTCTTGGCCCCCTGTGATGTCCTCACATACCAACCTTGTCAAGATAGAAATTTCAAGTTACACTTCATATTGATAGCCAACTAAAGTGATAACATATGGTTTTAAAGCAATTCATTTTTTGTACCCGCGTATGTCTGAAATCGAGTTAGGGATACGACCTCGAGTAAATTGTACCTTTCATAAAATCAAGGAAAGAAAAATGATGAAAGAATCCATGGAATGTACTTCACTGGATATAGCCACAATAAAATGGATATATGTTCAAAGACTGAAAGAAACAAAAATGTAGAATATGAACTTTTTTTTTCAGAAAGTTTGGCATAAAGACATCTAAGACAATATTGAAAATTGGACATGGAAGAGTGAAACCAAGGGACATGAAATCATATCTCATTAAATAAATAAAAGATTTTGAGGGATCACTGTATTGAGTTATCCTGTATAGCTCCAAATCGGCCTTTTCACATGACAGAACCCCTAATGTTTTGTTCGTACTTTCACGGTGTGGGTAAATTACATGAGTATCCACATTTACAGACGAGGCCCCTAGCCCCAAAAGTATATGTTGTTAGGCAATTGGTAAACAAATTTCAAAACTACATGGTGCCCACCTTTGTCTAGAAAAAGTGCCAAAACTTGGTTAACATCAAATTAAAGGGGTAGTTTTCGAATAAGCAAGATAACTTAATTGAAGTGGACCTAACCTAGTTTCACTTTCCTCAATGTGCCCTCCTTTTGCATGCAAAGAAATAAACAAGTAACAAGGGAGCAAACTCAAGGTGGTGAGCACCGGTTTGGTGGCCCTCCTTGTTGGATAACTTGATATACATTGTTGGGCCCATTTCCTAACATCGTAAACTTTTTGGATAATTGGTAACTTAACACGATCAAAGCTCAAGTTGACAGAGGTCTTGGGTTCAATTCTCTCTGTTGGCATTTTGTATTTTGCCCTCATTTGATTTCTTCCTCTTTGTTTCATTGTTTGCTTCTCAGTTTGTCTCTCCATGTACAGGGCAAGGTTGCACTGCAAATAAGGGAGGGTGTTGGATAACTTGATATATATTGTTGGGCCCATTTCCTCAGTTCAAGCTTTTGGGATAATTGGTAACCTAACACCTAACCCAACCCACTGTTTTAAGGGTTTGGATTTGATACCTAAGCCCGTGGGAGCAGGTGGAATTGATATTTAAGCCCTTGGGGGCCGGTTGTGTTGAATTCCAAGCCTATTTACTTATTAGGTTGATCTTAGGAATAAACTTTGAGTCCCAGCAATACCTGATTAGTAGTCAATAAAGGTTGCCCCTCAAGCCGCTTCAGTCTAAATTTATAAACAGTAAATCCCGAAACGCCTTTCTCTGCCCAGTAATTAATAACCTGCAAAATTAATGGAACACAATTCTTGCAGTTCTGAAACAATCGTGCATACAAAAACAAAAAAACCAACAAAGGAGATACTATGTACGTAAAAGAAATAAAGGAATGGCATACAACCATAGATAATCTATCAAATATGTTCTTCAAACAATCATAAGCCCTATATAAGAACAAGATGAAGGGACTTAAATTCATCTTCCACCTCCTACATTTCTTACTCAAAATTCTTCAAAGGAATTCATATCTTCAATATTACAATCCTCATCATCCAAACTCTCCAACAAAGAAAAGAAAAGAGTCTGAAATTTTGTCATTCACCTCTCTTTTTAGAATTCTGCAACAAGTGATTTGGTAATCAATCTAAATTGATTTGATTTTGTACGTCCCACTCAACTATTTTTCCTTCTCTTTGTTCTTTTCTTCCTTTTTCCCTAAACTTCTTCACATCAGATTCCAAAAGCAACAAAATACCAAACCAGCCAAAGCCCTAACCTGTGAACCCACGTGAGAATGTTCAATGTGGGGTACCAGTTTGATCACATCTACTGTGATGCCCTCCACTTAGCGGTATTGACTAATTTGGAAGTTTTCCAGAACCGTAATTTTTCTCCTTTAATTCCACATATTTGGTTCAAGCTGTAAAATGGCACTCGTAAGGTCAGTTGGCTAGTTTACTCCATGAAATTGTTGAACCCATTGTCTGCCAATGCGAATCCAGAGAGCTGTGTTTCCATGGAGTACAAATTATATAGAGCACATTTTCACTTTCAACATAGAGATAAATCTTTTGGTGGTTTCCAAGTACCTTCCAAGGATGCTAGAGCTAAATCAGTATAATCAAACACAAAATAAAACATAAGATTAACAACATAAATACAGGAATGATATGCAAAACAACCAATATCATCAATGTGAATATCCAGGCCCAAATGTCCGCTGCCTTCCACAAATAAGAAAGATAAGAGACAACTATCAAAAATGGTATAGGTAACTCCTGTTGTCTATTCTACTAAACATGAGCACAACATAATGCAAAAGCAAAGTTGTAAAACTTGAAAAAGCATTAACTGCAAAAACAGGGGTAAAATTGTCAGAGTATGTTCCAGTTAGTTACCTTGTATAAGCCATCATATGTGTAAACCTTGCCAACATAACTATTCGCAGATTGATGGCCACGAACAACTCTAACAGGCACACTTTGCTCCATACAATTCTGCATTTGAATATAAAACCATGATAAACATATTTTTAAGTAGAAATCGCAACACCAATACTCTCCCCCTCACAATTAACAAAATGTGTTAGAATAGGAAATTATTTTCACATATTTTATTCTAATTTGATGTAATGGGCTGTAATAAGCTGGCCCATAATTCTAGCCTTATGGCACTCCTATAATTATGTTTTATTCTTAATATAAAACGGGGTGAGGTTTTCACTCGTTCTCTAACTCTTTCTATTCTCTAAGCCTACATGGTATCAAAGCCTCAATACGACCCTAAAACAACACCTTGCTTCCACCGAAGGACTGTCCAGGCCCCCACACCCTTGTCTTGGACATTCAACCCCTACCCAGGCCACCCAAAGGCAACCCTTGGCCATTCGGCCTTTACCCAGTTAAGCCGAAGGACAGTCGGCTATCTCTCAAGGCAGCCAAAGCCTTCTCTACCCTCCTCTAGGCAGCCCTAGCCCATCCATATAGGTCTGTCAGCACTCCTGGAGGCTGTGTAATTCCTCTTTGTCCTCCTTTAGGCTTGTCAGCAACCCTAGCCCATCCATATAGCTCTGTCAGCACTCCTGGAGGCTTTTTAGCCCTCATCTAGTCAATAACTGTTGGCTCATCATCCTCAATCTATGGTATCAGAGCCTGTGAGAAGTTCCCGTTCCTCGAGTAAGTAGTAGCTACAGCCTCCCAAATATCCTAAGTTGTGTCCATGGACAAGTAGCCCTCTCCAATCTCAAGTACTATAGAATGGATCAACCAATCTATGATGAGGGAATTGGTGATCTCCCACTGATCATAACTAAAATCTGTGATACTAAGTATCTGTATCCTTCCATCAACATACCTCATCTTCCCTCTACTCTTCAAAAAAATAGTCAACCCCTACTTCAGTCATCCTCCTTGTCTCCTTGGTCCACTAGTTTGTCGACTGGGGTATACCCATGGCCTGAACTCTTGTTTTGGTATACCACAAACCTTCTTCTCTGTTTCTTTCTTAATACGTAAAAAAAAATAAAAAATAATAATAATAATTACATAACTTCTTAATGCTTTATGCTTTCATCGTGGTAGTTGTGTCTTTCCGTCCACTATTATCTTTCGAATTTGTGATTGACATTATGTTTGAGAGTTGAATAATAGAGTATCCGTGACAGATTCCCTTAGTGAGTCCACTACCTCTCAGAAAAAAAATAAAAAATAATAATAATAATTACATAACTTCTTAATGCTTTATGCTTTCATCGTGGTAGTTGTGTCTTTCCGTCCACTATTATCTTTCGAATTTGTGATTGACATTATTTGGTAAATTCTAACAGTAGAGTATCCGTGACAGATTCCCTTAGTGAGTCCACTACCTCTCAGCCACCAAAGAGCAAGAGTTTCATTATACCTCTTACTAAGACTTATAACCTCAACCCTAGCCTTAAGATCACCACCTCTCTATTCAATGGTCAAAATTATCTAGCCTAGTCGTAGAGTCTAACTATTTTTTTTGAAAATCTGAGAGAAGATAGAGTATGTTGATGGAAGGATACAGGCACTCAGTATCACGAATCATAGTTATGACCAGTGGGAAATCACCAACTCCCTTATCATAGGTTAGTTGATCCATTCTATAATACCTGAGATTGAAAAGGGCTACTTGCCTATGAACACTGCCCAGAATATTTACGAAGTTGTAGCTACTACTTACTCCATGAAAGGAAACTTCTCACAAGCTTTCGAGTTACGTCTCTTCATTGAAAAATCAAAACAAGGTGAAATAACTATCCTCCAGTATTTTACTTTTCTTACCAATGAGTGGAAGCAGCTTGATCACCTTCAAGATTACAAGCTTGTCTGTCCCACTAATTTTGCTGGTTACCGAAAATTTGTGGCACAAGAACGAGTCTTTAAGTTCTTAGAAGGCCTAAATATGAAATATGATCTAGTTCAGAACAGAATACTTGGCATGGATATGCTTCCTTCTCTCCAAGAAGTTCTTATTTTTGTGCAGAATGAGGAGAGCTGCCGCTCTGCGATGCTTCCTTCTACTATTACTGATCGCTCAGCCTTGGTTTCTGTACCCCCTCACGATAGCGACCATGTGACTCGTGGTTCTCATTTTTTCTCTGAAAAGGATAATCTCTTTTGTGACTATTGTCGTAGACCTCAATACACATGAGACTTGTTGAAACCTGCACGGGACTCCTAGTGGCCGAAGAGACCGTCTTAGTACTCGATGGGGTATCTAGAGGTTAAGGGGCCAATGCTCAGGCACATCTTTCAAACACAGTTGAGCCACCATCTTCATCTCCAATTGACTCCCATGCTGCTGATATTTTAGGGTTATCTACCTCGAATTTTGAGATTACTCTTCGCCGCCTGCTAAACCGTCGAGCCTCCACTTCTGCTACATGTACACCCTCTTCTTCCTTTACTAATTCAGGCAACTTGGCTTCTTCCTCATGTGTATTGCTATCTCATACAACTGTACCATGAATTGTTAATTCTGATGCTTCTGACCATATGTCTAGCTCTACTAACTTATTCTCCGAGTATAACCCCTCCTCAAGTCAGGAAAAAGAGTGTATTGTAAATGGTACTATTTCGTCTGTGCCAGGGAAATGTTTAACTCATGCCACATTCTCCCTTCCTTTGTCTTCTGTACTCCATGCTCCCAATTTTAGTGTTAATGTTTTATCTTTTAATCGTATTACTCGTGATTTAAATTATAACATAACGTTTTTTCCTGATCATTGTTTTTTTTCAAGACCTTATCACAAGGAAAAAGATTAGCAATGGTAGAGAGGAACATGGTCTCCACATTTTAAATCAAACAGACAAGCTGACTCATTCATCCTTTCAGTTACCATCCAACGAGGAAAACATTTGGCTGTGGCACTATCACTTAGGACATCCTTCCTTTTTATTACTTAAACATTTATTTCCTTTTGTTTTTAAGACAAATAAATTTTTAATGTGAGTCTTGTCAACTTGGAAAATAACAAAGCCTCTTTTGCTCATATTAATAAAAGTTCAATTCCATTTTCTTTGATTCATTCTAATGTATGAAATCCATCCCATTTTGTGCCTTTAAAAGGTCAAAAATGGTTTATTACTTTGATAAATGACCGTTCCAGGGCCATATGGGTATATCTAATGAAAGATAAGAGTAAAGTGTTTTTTGTGTTTCAAAACTTCAATAAAAGGTTTTGTACTCAATTAGGAGCAATTGTCAAAATTACACATTCTGATAATAGGGGAGAATATATTGACTCTGGTCTTGCCAGTTATTTCGCCACTCATGGCATTATTTACTAAACTTTATGCACTAATACCCCCTAACAAAATGGTGTTGCAAAACAAAAAACAAAAAAAAATCACCATCTCCTTGATGTAGTCAGTTGTTTATCCTTTGAGATGTTGATTCCTCGATTCTATTGAGGAGAAGTGGTCCTCACTGTCGCTTATTCAATTAATCGTCTTCTTACCCAAGTCCTTCAAAAACAAACACCTCTTCAAGTTTTGTTCAGGTCTCCCTTTTTCGAGTTCTCCATTTCTCCTAAGACCTTTGGTTGTGTTTGCTTTGTCCATAATTATTCACCCACTTGTGGTAAATTAGATCCTAAGTCACTGAAATGTGTTTTTTTGGTTATTCTGCAACCCAAAAAGGTTAGAAGTGTTGTCATCCTCCCACTTGCAAATGGTTTGTCTCAATGGATGTCATCTTCTTTGAGTCTTAATCTTCACTTTCTCCGCTCCTCAGTGTCACAGTCATTCCTTCAAAGAAGCCTTGATGTAAAGAGATTGTTCCACTATCGCCAATGGTTGAACAAATCGAGAATGGTGAGCCAACAATTGTTGTGGAAATGGAAACAATCAAAGTTTATATCAAGGACAATGATAGACAAAAAGTCACATAAATACAAGAGACTACTTTCCTTCCTCTACTACCAACCTCTTGGGCATTGAAGTAGTTAGGTCTAAGGATGATATCTTCATATGTCAGAAAAAGTATGTACTTGACTTGTTAAAAGAAACTAGAATGCTTGGAAATAGACCATGTGATACACCTCTAGAACTGGGCTAGAAACTAAGTGAGGATCAAAAGGGAGAGCCAATGAACAAGGGGAGATACTAGAGACTAGTGGGTAAGCTAATATACTGATCCCACTCACATCTAGACATTACTATTGCAGTGAGCATGGTTAGCCAGTTTATGTATGTTCCTAGAACTTCCCACTTAGAGGCAGTTATGAGAATCCTAAAGTACCTGAAGTCTTCTCCTGGAAGTCTTCTCTTGGAAACGGTCTCCATTTCTCAAAATATGGACATCTCGGAGTGGAGGCATATACTAATTCAGATTGGACTAGATCAGTCACTGACAGACACAATCAACTTCTGAATATTGCACATTTGTTGAAAGTAACCTAGTCACATAACAAAGTAAAAAACAAAATGTGATTGCTAAATCTAGTGTTGAGGCTAAATTCAAAACTATGGCTCAGGGTGCCTGTGAGTTGCTATGGATTAGACTATTGTTAGGAGAGTTGGAAATCTATCAGACCGATTCAATGAGATTGTACTGTGATAACAAGACGGCAATCAACATAACTCATAATCGAGTTCAACATGACAAAACCAAGCATGTAGAGATTGATAGGCACTTCATCAAAGAAAAACTCACTAGTGACACCATATGTACTCCATTTGTGAAAACTACGAACTAACTAGCAAATGTTCTCACCAAGACTAGGGAACAATCTATTTCATGACATTCTCAACAAGCTGAACATGAGAAATATCTTTGCCCCAACTTGAGGGAGAGTGTTAGAATAAGAAATTATATTCACATATTTTATTCTGATTTGATATAATGGGCTATAATAAGCTAACCCATAATTCATGCCTTATGGCACTCCTGTAATTATGTTTTATTCTTAATATAAAGGGGGATGAAGTTTTCACTCATTCCCCAACTCTTTCTCTTCTCTAAACCTACAAAATGCACCCCCAATGCAAGCAGGATTCGAAGTTGTACTTAACTATTTCATAAAATAGATTTCACAAGCATACACATTTACAACAAACTCCAAAGCCCATGGGCTCCAGATGCAAAGATTTCTCCCAATCCCCTCTAAGATCTAATTGCTTATAAAATAGTAATTTATAGTAAATGTTAAAATCCACCTACTCTCCACCTACTTCACCCACTTAAACCTACTCCACTAAACCTAACCCACTACACCACTACCACCTCCACTTCACCTACTCCTTACCTACTACACACTCACCCTCTTCTATATATAGGAATCATGAATCATTGTAATAGATATCAATATATCAATCAATAATAATACATACAATTTATTCTCTCTCTTTCTCTATACATTATTTCTTACAGTAAAACATCCACCTTGTTCTCATATATCTTTGCAAGTCCAAACATTGTCCCTTTTCCACTATACATTACCCACGAATTTTTGCACTACAAAGAAAAACCATCTAACACATTGCTAGTATAGCCCAAAAGAACACTAGTTTTTTATCACCCCTGAGTAAAAATTAAAGAAACAATAGAACAAAGTGTTTTCTACAGAATTTTTAAAAACTTGCATATTTTTACAAAGCCTTAAACCCCAATAACTAAACGTATTTGCATGGAATTTGTCTTTCCTATTGCCTCCAATCAAAAGCAATTGTATCTGTTAAACTACAGACCAACTAGTCATTCTTACTAATTAAAATAAAATTGATTGTGGCCTTCACCTCATACTTTCACAAGCTTTGGCTTGCATCATATTTCACCAAAGTGGTGTAGCTACTAGTCTCACTGGACCACTGTGGTGCAATATGACCAAGTAACCAATCATCTTACTCTATTTTCTCTTATCTCATCTGTTAAAACCTACTGTTAAAACCTACCATCACCTACTCCACCTACTACACACCTACCACTACCACCTACTCCACTACATCTCCTATATAAGGAGCCCCTTACCATTTGTAATACATAAAATACATCAATCAATAATACATCAATTTTAACTTCATCCCTAGCACATTTTTTCTTAAAGATCTACGAGGAAATTTCATGCAAGTTATTTCAGACATAACAAATGCATCAAAATTAGAGTTCTACCAACTATGATACATTATGTGAAACAAAATTTCTCTTTAACAAATCCTAATAGTTTTTAAGTAAAGGTTCAAAGTTCCAAGCAATCACGACGTTCAAGTATAATCCAAATGAACTTATTTCCAAGATGGAACATATCTTCTCCAGGTTTGTCTTGCTGAATTTCCAAGAGTGCAATGTCTCTAATACAATTAAAGGTAAGTTATAAAGGACAAAAGAAATAGAATCTATTCACAGCACTTTCAGTTGGAAGAAATTACAAACAGCATATGACCTAATAAACATCAACACTTTTAGTTGGAAGAAATTACAAATAGCATATGGCCTAATAAACATCAACACTTTTAGCCAGAAGAAATTACAAACAACATATCGCCTAATAAACATCAACACATAACACAACAAACAAGATGAAAAACAACCAAATAATAAGAACTCGTAGATACACACCTTCACTCCCAAATTACCACGTAACATTACTTGATCCTGTACTTGACGTTTATTGCCAAGCAAATTATTCCCACCTTGACCAGTGTACACAATATCATCACAATTGTCCAGATCATCCTCGTACTGACCAGACAGAACAATGGCAATCGTGAGTGGTAACGTGTAGCCACTAAAATCCTGCAAAATCCCAGGAGGAAAAAAAATTAATAGCTTTTTCAATATTATGATAACTAGTCTAAAAAAATAAAAAATAAAAAAAAGAAGTAAAGAAGAATAAGAAGAAAGAAAGATACTCGGTTAAGGAATGTCATTGTACTTAGGCCCATTTGTCTGGAGAGTTAGAGGGGGAATTGGGATTGGTAGTGAGGTGGAACCCACTAATATTATGTTTGTTTTGAGAGATAGGGAGGGGATTGATAGTGAGTTTCGAATTAGGATGGGCCTCCCCAAGGGGATTCGGATAGACCTCTAGGACTTGGTATTAAAAAAATAGTCTGGCGGACTAAAAAAATTTTATTTTATTTTATTTTTTACATGTCGGGCATTTTTTTTTAACATTAATGTTTAATTTTTTATTTTTTTTGTTAAGAAAAAATCATTATTTTATTTGTTTTATTTTTTTCTGGAAATTTTTTATTTTATTTTTATTTTTTAAAAATTTTTTACGTGTTGGGCATTTTTTTTAAAACATTAATTTTTAATGTTTTTGTATTTTTTTTATTTGTTTTATTATTTTATATTTATTTTATATAAAAATAATTTAACAATCCCTGCACTAACAACTATCATGAAAACAAACACAATTTTACTTAATCTCCTCACTATCAATCCCCTCCATTCTATCTCTGAAAACAAACAGGGCCTTATAATATTAGCAGCAACAATGCCACACTGGATTTAGTTCATGCTAAATTATAAGAAAATGCAAATTAGAATACTGTTAAATCTAAGGATACAACTTTATAGAGAATACAAATGACATTACAGTAAAATCTGAGAAATATTGTGGATTATGTAAAATTATACACAACTATATCATTCAGTTATTTATTCAGCCAACCAAATCATTTGTTAACTTCAAATGAATATTCACATATCCTCATCCCAAACTTTTATTATGGATAATCCACAGCTTTTCAACTCCAAGTATTCTCATACAAAGATTAGGAGAACTAACAACAAATAATGACCACAGAAAACCATAGAATAAACTTATGCAAAGTTCAAAATTCTAAGCTCCACTGGTCACAAAAATTTAAGAAAAAAAATAAATCTACCCAATAGTAGTTTCATTCCCTTCTTCATGATACATCACCTTGCTAGCAGTTTGCCCAATGTAATCAATTCCATTCAGCCAGTGGCTATGAAAACCTACAGCAACCATCTCAGCCCGTGAAAAGAACTGATGCCCAACATCAATACCTGGCATCACAACAAGAAGCCCAACATCAATGCCTGAATTCAAATTACTCAAACTTATCCAAAACTAAGCGATTCTAATATTGGATGTTAGTATAATACAGTAGACCAAGCCCAGTAAAACTTAACCTAGCATTTGACTGAAAGCATTACAAATATAAGCCACCAACCTGGAATGGGGCCAAATCTTTTATTCGGATACAATATGGCATTGGTCTCCATCATCTGCCAAAAAAAAATCCTATGAAAATTAATTATCTGTTTTACCTCAGAGAAATGCATAAACAGGCCTATATATCAACCTCTAGAAACAAGCCATGACCAAAGTCATTCACTATTACCACCAGGAAAAGAACATGATAACACTGAAAACCTGCTCACAAATATATTCACATAAACCCGACTTCTGAAAAATATGGCTGTGAAAAGATTAAACTGAAGAAAATGTTGTTTCTAACTCATCAATGCTACAGCAACATGTAGATACTTTTATTAATAGAATTCAGAAAAACTCACAAACTTCAACTCAAAAAGGGTGCAGTACAAAATTTATGCACAAATTTTGATAGGGTCTTCCATTCAAAACAAAGGGAAACTGTTAAAAACGCATGATAGAAAAACTGAGTAATAGGCACTTGTCATAATTACTAAACTAGTAAGTACATAATATACCTAGTGAATTCAAACTTATCAGAGAGAGAGAGAGAGTCCTCTGCGAGACCTTTGGGCCTTTGGGCTTACTGATACAAGGATGATGCATATTTCCATAAAATTCTTGTCTATAAATAGCCAATGCAAAAAGAGAGAATTTTCTATAATAGCAAAACAGAGTAATAGGCACTATTGTTGTAATTACCAAACTATTAAGTACATATTATATCCATTGAATTCGAACATATCAAAAATAAAAAACAAGATTCCTCTGTGGGGCCTTTGGGCTTACTGCAGTCCTATCCTGATGATTCAATGATAATGCTTAGTTTCATAAAGTTTTATCCCTATAAATAGCCAATGCAGAAAAAAAAAAGAACTTAAAATACAACCAAAACAAAACTTCTTAACATCCACGTGAGACTGAATTGCAGAGCTTAAAAAACAGTAAAACCTGTGAACTAGGGCAAATAACCAAGCTGTAAGAAGATCAATGGAGAATTACACAATGCACCATGAAGTTAAGAAAGAAACACCAATAGAATAATACTAGTATCTTATTTATCCCATCAAAGATTGACTTGCCTTACTTATAGCCTTCAGATCAGGCCGTTTCGAACCACGCTTTGTATCATCCTCAGGTGCATTCCCTTTCTGCACAATGTTACATATTAACATAATCTAAAAGCAACAAAGGGATCAATAACCAGAAATCAGCAGCTCATTTGGTTTCTCAGCAGTAGCATGTGGGTTGACATGGCAAAATAGAACAAATGAATGTCAAAATATCTACATTTCACAAAACGAATTTCACAAAACACAAAATACTGACACTGACTACGATCGAAAGCCACAAAATAGTAAAAAGTGAACAATTTCAATAACTAGGCTCGCTTACACATAAGGGGAGATTGGAGATTATATTAGCCATAGAACCAAATCAATGGTGGGCCAAGTAGGGGAACACTCCCAGAGTGTGGTGTGATTGATGCACAACAATGAGATTTTACTTTTAAAAATAAAAGTAAAAAAGTTTACAAGATGGATATAAGAATAACCATGGTTGTTTAGAATGCTAGGCAACTAAACTACGTGTTCATAATGAGTATGGCCAAGATGTGATTATGCAAAAGTTGACATGGATGCACTATAAAACTGATGAAGGACAAAATTATGACCGAACAAATTACTGAGATGGTTAACACCTATGGGAGAAAATGAGGGGAAATCAACTAAAATGGTTTGGCCATCTCAGAAAAAAAAATCAAATACAAAAAGGACCAATAATTGTACCAATACATAGGAGACACATTGTCCACATTGGGCTGATGTTAAGGGTTGAGTAAAGGCAAAATTAGGTTGAGATGGGAAGGAAAGGCATGTTATAGGTTGTAGTTTAACAAATAATTATGATCTTATATCAAAAAGAATGGCAAAACAGGATTTAAGTAGCCAACCTCAAATAGTTGGAACAAAGCTTTGTTCAGTTGAGCTGAGTTTCATAAAGGTTAAATAAGATGCTCTAGTGAAATTTACAATCTCTAAACTTATACATTAACCCTAACTATGTGTTTGCCATCATGTAATGTAGGTTGACCAAAAATTTAAAAATTAATTTAATAGAAGTTTTAATTTGTACACATGACTATTCTTCTTGCCAATACACCTCTAAATGAAATTATTTAAAATTAAAAAATAGAGTAAAAGAGCTTGTAGTGAATAGATAAGGCCTTTGATGACAACAAATAAAAGATAATAAGATAATAAAATAAAATAAGAGAAAAAGAGAGCAGGTAGTTCCCATCTTCAAACCAAACCCTCATAAAGAAATTTACAAACATTAGATAGAAATGCCATTAATGCAACAGTCAATGACTAACTGTAAGTGTTGAACAATAAATTAATGCAATTCACTTGTCTGTTTCATATGAGACAAGTGAATTTCCAATAACAATACACTCCAGGTGGGAAGGGATAAGTGAATTTCCAATAACAATAGGCTTACATCAAAGATCAAAATTAAGACCATAAAATTTGAACTAGTTATAAATAAACTTACTATAATTATTCAAGAGGTGCCATAAAAAATGATGTTTGCTCAAAAGACAGTTTTGTTGAAGGTCCATTGACAATGCCAAATAGCAAAACTAGACTAGCATGGCCCTAAAAAGTTGAGATCAGGGGCTTTGTCGAGTTCAAATATGTTTAGTTACAAATGAGATTTTGGACAAGGAATTGGCCTTACAAGCTTTCATCAACCACATTTTATGTTATACCAAAAATCTCAAGCTACTGGCCGATTCATTCATCAAATATCATACAGGACATGATAATAAATTGCAATCAAAAAATTAAATCATTTAATTTGCCATCTTGGTGAAGAAGAAAACAATAATTAGAAAAGATTATACATAATCCAGTAAGATAACTTAAGAGACGAAGTCTAAACAACAAGCTAGACAAGAACAATCACATCAAAAAAATTATATTATAAAAAATAAAAATAAAAAAAAAAGAAGAAGAAGAAGAAGAAGAAGAAGAAGAAAGAAAGAAAGAAAATGAGGAAATGAGACAAGACAAGATTATTAAATGATTAAAAAAAATAGTGAAGAAGATAATCAGCTAGAATGAACGATCACATTATCTAAATACATCCACGCAAGGTCCACTAATAACAAAAGGAAAATAAGTAGTTGCTTGCCTTAGAATTTGAACCTTTGGCTGCTTTTCGATCAGCTTCTGCTTTTCCACACCTCTTTTCCTCTTCCTGTGGACAATCGTAAAGAAGCAATATAAACACATTTTTTTCTCCTAGGAGTTGAAGCAGTAAGCAAAATAAAAAAATAAAATTATAAACTCAAAATAATCTTGCACATGTTAGAGATAGATTGAACTTTGTATGAATGCCCTACTAAAGCTGTATTTGGTTAAGAGCTTTAGAAAGAAATTTGGAAAGGAAAAGAGAAAAGTAGTGTGAAGGGGGGAAAAAATATGTGTATATATATATACATAAAAGATAAAATGAAGTAAAATTATACTTACAAAAAACAAATATGTTCTAATCAAACCTCGTATCACCCTCCAAAGCCATAGAAGGAAACAAAGAACATTGAGGAAAAGTAAATAAAACATTAGAAAAAATTGTTCAATTTAAATGTGACAGAATTATCCAGAACTTTGACATTTTGAACTATGCTGTATTCCTTAGTAGTTAGTAGGCCCATGAAACCCCATTTAGCCAGAATTATAACAATGACTTACAGAATGTTTTGAATAAATTGGCACAGCACGGCATATGTAAACTAGAAAAATAGGATGCAATAAGTTGTCACAATAGAATCATTAGGCATTTCATGAATAATTTTGTAACTGTTAATACTATCAATCTAGACCACAGTGATGTAAACCTCAACGCACACGAGAAACTAATCTCAATAAATAAAAGCCAAACAACATCAATAATCTTCTACCAAAACCACATTTCCTAACTGACACTTGTACATAGATAAAAACAAAATTACTATATTATACAAGGTTAATAAATAAAACAAAGCAAAAAAAAATTAAGCAAACCTGGACAAAGTGAAGATAATGCTTGTTAAATGCCCTCAAAGTCTCTGTAACAAGGGCAGATGCACTTTTCTCAGCCCCAATCCCAGCCGCAGTAACCCCCCGAACCCCCTCGATATTGGCAGCACTGTCTTTGGTCTCATTTGCATTTGCATTTGCCTTTGCCTTTGCCTTTGCCTTTGCCTCTGCCTCAAAACCCAGAATGGAATTGGAAACTTTAGTATCATCATCGACCACCAGAGGAGCCACATCTTCTGGAGGGCACACCTTTCTTCTTTTGAACACTTTGGTTTTCTTCTGAACGACCTTCTCGAGCTTCTCTTGTGTGTGATTTAACGAGTCTTTTCTTCTGCTACTAGTGATGCGAATAGCTTCTTCGCTCTTCAGCTTTTGAATCCTAGCACTGGTTCTTCTCTCTAACTTTGGGTTTGGGGGGCTAATGACTGTTTCTTCACATTTTGTTGTTATTGGGGTATCGGCGGCCATGGAAACGTCAGACACCATCAAAGCAGAGGCAACTGAAACGCCATTGTTTATGCTCGGACTAGTAGTAGTAATGCCATTCTCACATGTATTCGCACGGTGAAGTGACGGAACTACCATTGTTGAACAGATCTAAGAATCTGCACGCACAGGAATAATAATAATAATAAATCAAAAATCAAAACCAAACTCAACAATCAAATTTTAAGTAAGAAGATTTTTTAGGGGTGTGGATGGAGTTTGGAATTAGGGTTTCAGAGGGGAACCGGCATATATAGAGACCGTGTGCAACTGAAAATGACAGCGAACGAGCGCTAAAGTGAAGAGAGAGAGCGCGTCTAGTAGAGTAGAGTTTCACTATCGAGGAGTGAAGAGATGAATTACCGCCTTTCTTGTGTCGTTCCCGCTCTTGTTAAATAATTCAAACGCGACTATTACGCCACTTGTGTAATAATTATGGACCCCACCTCATACTTTACCTGTCGTACCGGAAATGTTGGGCAAACTATGGTTCACTTTGGCTTCGTTTGGTAGGTGGCTGTTTTAGTAGATTATTTGACTATTTTAATGGCTATTTTAGTTTTTGTGTTTGGGAAGATGAGATGATTTTTTAGTTGAGTTATTGTATTGAAAAGTGTGTTGAAATGATGTGTTAAATTTAAAATGACAAATTTATTCCTAAAAATATATTTTTTTAAATTGATATCAAGGGGTAAAATGGTAATTTATTTATTGATGGGACAAGGGTGGTAGCTGACAGTGTAGGCACAGCCTACACTGCCGGCTATGCATAAGAGACGGGGTTCTAAGTTTAAGAAAGGCAAAACTGGTCCCTTGAACAAGAAACAGAATACTGGGAAAATTTTTTTTTTTTTTTTTTTTTTTTTTGAAAAAGGTTGCAACAGTGTTGCTTTTAGGCTAATTTGCCAAAATAGGCTATAATAGCCTTATTTGGTGCTTCCCAAACAGCGCCATCCTTTAACGTAGGGTGGGTGGTTGATTGTGGTTAAGGTTCGAGGTTTAAGTTTAAAGTGTTTAATTTTCTTTTTTTTTTTGAGTCAATTTTCTGGATAAAATATAATTGATTAGGAGGTTGGACATTAAGGGTTGGTTTGAGGTATCCTAAAAAAATATACTTTTATCTTTTTATGAAAAGATGTGTAGAAAAGTAGAAAGTTGATGTGATGAAAAAAAGATAAAAAGATGGATTATATAGGTTATGCCAAACCAAGCCTAAATTGTTTAATCAGTATTTGCTGTGAGTTTAATACTCTCTTGTTGTGCAAGTCTTGATTTAAGCGGAGTTTGTCTTTGGAGGTCAGAACAAATTTTCAAGTTATAATCTCCTCACTCAGAACGGCTAACAGGACACTCTGGTGATCTCTGCAAGGGCGCTGCCTTGGACTTGCAGGAGAGTAGGAAGAATTTTCCTGTAACAAAAAAAAAATATTTGTAACTTTTTTCATTTTTCATTTTATTTATAAAAAATAATTTAATCAGGGGGCCTAGTGGATGACGATTAGAGTCTGGAGAATTGCTCCCTCTCATATTCGAATTTTTTAGCTAACAAATGCATCCGTTGGGGCCACGGTCCGCAGGGCTTGCACCCTGTTTCGGAAGGCTTGTTTGAACTGTAGGAACTTAGACTAATGCGCATAAGCTGATCTAGGATACCTTACATAACAAAAATAATAATAAATAATTTAATAATTATCATTTTTAATTTTATTTAAAAGTTGACCTTTTAATTTTGTTTACTTTTTTGAAAAAAAAAAATATGTAAAAAATTAAAGAGATAATGTCACGTAAAAAAATCAAAAAATTAGTGTTTAGCCAAATTTTCAAAATAGGCATTTGTTTAAAAAAATAAATAAATTTATTTTTATATATTTATTATCTTCTGTTTTTTTAACAGACAAACACAATAAAATAACAATATTCAATGTGTTTGGTTTGAGTTTTCTGAATTAAATTTTTTGAAAATTGAATTTTTTAATTTTCGTATTTTTTTTATTTTTAGTGAATATTTTTAAAATTTTAAATATTTTTTTTTACTTTTTTATATGCACCTTACTTAGATGTATTTAAAAAGTAAAAATTTGGTGAAATTTTTTTTAAAAAAAATTAATAAATACATAAAAATACAAAAATGTACTGAATTCTCGTATTTTTTTGTATTTTTGTTATTTAGTGAATTTTTAAAAGGTTTTTTTACAAATTTTTTATTTTTTAGGTATATTTATGTTAGGTATGTCTAAAAAGTAAAAAAAAAAATTGCATAAAATATTAAAAAAATTCAATAAAAACAAAAAATACGGAAAACAATAAAGTACAATTTTCTGAAAGTGTTTTTAAAAAAATGGAACCAAGCAAAGTACGGTTATTGAAACATAACATATGATAAACACCTCAAGTCATTTTAAGTTTAGATTTTAACTTTATAAAAGCAGGCACATTGGACTGACTCCGGATCCTCTGTCGCCTTTACCTGCGGCGGTCCCTGCGGCACCCCCAAAACGACGTCGTTTTGGGGGAAAATTTCAAAAAGAAAAGAAAACGAAAGCACAAAATCAGAGAGAAAGAGGGAAAGAATAAAGCGAAGGAAGAAAAATGAGAAGGAAGAAAAAGGAGAAGAGAGAGAAGAAGGAGAAGAACAAAGAAAAAAGCACAGAATTAGAGAGAAAGAAGGGAATGAGATGGTCATATGTGTCTACCATGACTTTTAAATGGATTCTGTTTTTTATATGTCAAAAGTATGAAATTATGAATTTACAAGTATCCTTATATACATCAGCAGGAGCACCGACATCTGGGGGAGTTACGCCTGCAATTGCCTTAACGGATGATGCACTGAAGCACTTGAATAAGATGAGATCTGAGCAGAATGAAGATTTATGCTTAAGAATTGGTGTTAAACAAGGTGGATGTTCTGGCATGTCTTACACAATGGAGTTTGAGAATCGAGGAAACTAGAGACTAGATGATTCCATTATTGAATACAATCGTTTTGTTATTGGTAATCCTTTATCTTCCTGTTTGCTTTCTTGTTGAGGTTTAAGTATGAATCGATAATGGGCATTTGGATTTCTATTTCTTTTTTGATGACAAATCTCCATTTTCTTTCACCATTTATATTCAAATTGTTGGAACAATCTTCTGTGTAAATAAAAATAAATAAATAAATAAAACTTGAAAGAAATTCAAACAAAATAAATAAATAACATACCAGATTTATTTATCGAACCAAATTAAAATTAAGACCGAGTCGAGTGTGTGACACTCTGTCCTTAAGACAGATTCGTCCCACTACGGTACTTACGGTTGAGTGGCGTCTATCTCCCAAGATACAATGATCTTCACAAATTGTAGTAGCACTCCAAACAATTTGTTCGGCGAACTAAACCTGTGATCTATACTCTCTTTAATTTATTCTAAAACTAAATATGAAGAATAAATGCACTAGAGAAAAATTAGACAGCAATTTAGACAATTTGCAAACTAATTTTTGGAACCCAAGACTGCTGGAACATGGCTGTATTTATAGGCAAAAAATCTGACCTGAATAGGTTCTAATTTGAAATGAACAGGTGTGATATGAATTTGAACAGATGCTGTTTGAAATTAAACAGATCTGCCAATTAAATCAACAGATGCAGCAGTTAATAACCTGTTCCGAAACTGCCTGAACAGTTTCAAATTCAAATCAGTCCGGGTGCAAGTTTGGACCATATCAAACTGTTGTGGAATTCAAATCTATTGAACTTTATTATATAAACTATTTTGAATATATATATATAATAAACAAATTGAATAGTTTAATAAATAAATGAAGAGGTACAAATTTTAGGAAACCACTTAGGAACCAAAAATTTGAATTTAGAATTAAATTAAATTCCCACAATTACAAACTTCAGGAAACCACTTAGGAACCAAAAATTTGAATTTAGAATTAAATTAAATTCCCACAATAATTTTTATTGAAAAAAAATTCAAATGAATTTTATCTAAAAAATTAATGTTAGACCCGAAAACGACGTCAACTTCCCACTCACTCATAAATGGTTTTGACGTTTCGTCTTCACCGTGTGACTTGCCACGCGGCAAAGAGCACATCACCTCTTCGGACCCACCCAAAAAGACGTTTGGGGCCCACTTAATTTTGGGCTCAAATATATGCCTATATTAAACTATTTTTCCAACACAAATTTCAGAACAATCCAAAATGGCCATTTTTCCCAAGAACACAAAGAATAATTTCATAATCATCATCAACAACAATAACTAAAAAAGAAAATTTGCAGACCCAGAAAAAAGGAAAAAAAAACGAAGAGAGAGAGAGAGAAAGAAGCAAAAACACAAAGAATACAAAAAATAAACCATATGTGAGAATCAGAGAGAAAGATCAACAACAATAACTAAAAAAAAATAAAATTACAGACCCAAGAAAAAAGAAAAAAAACACAAAGAGAGAGAGAGAAAGAAGCAAAAACACAAAGAATACAAAAAAATAAACCATCTGTGAGAATCAGATAGAAAGATCAACAACAATAACTTAAAAAAAAAATGCAGACCCAGAAAAGGGGAAAAAAATGGAGAGAAAGAAGCAAAAACACAAAAAATACAAAAAAAAAACCTAAGAACTAATATAAACGAGATCTGCAAACCCAATCAACATAAATGAACTTCACTAAAATTGATATAAACCCAAGAAATCTGTGTTTACTTCGTTCTTCTCCTTCTCCTCTCTTTTCTCCTCTCTCTTCCTCCACTTTCTTCTTTCCCTCTTTCTCTCTGATTCTGTGCTTTCGTTTTCTTTGTTTTTTGAAATTTTCTCCCAAAATGACGTCGTTTTGGGGGTGCCACAGGGACGCTGCAGATAAAGGTGGCAGAGGATTCGGACTCCATTGGACTTGTTATGAATTATTTTGAAAAGATGGTTAAAATTTGTCTTTTTAGCTCTTTTTTATTTTTATTTTTTAAAAATGTGTAAAAAATGTGTTGATAATGTGACCTAAAATGGGTTAAAAACTTAAATATGGCTTTTAACCATCATTCCAAAACAGCCTTATATTAGTTTTGGAATTATATTAAGCTTTCGTTTGAGATGTGGATTGACTTTTTGGCTTTTCAATTTTTTTTGCTATTTTAGCCTGTGGGTAAAAAGTCTCGTTTTAGATTTTTTATTTTTTTACTTTTATAAGAGGAAAAATGAGATGAATACGGTTTGAATGTGACATTTTGTCTTATGAGGTTAAAAAGTTTATTTTGTCTTTTTGTGACTAAAATCATGCGAAACATGACAATTTTGACATTGATACCATACATTACTTGATGTAGCGATGTATTGTTCACTAGTTATATACTATTTTATTGTTTATTCTAAAGAAAATTTTAACATGTGACTGACCACCCAATAAATAGAAAAAACTGGGCAGTAATAACAATAAATATTTTATAAAATTAAATTTTAAAATAGAGAGACTGATAAAGTGTATACATAGAATAAAAACTTTAAAAATGCTGACCAAAATATAAAAGTAAATTTCTAATTATAATTTCACTAAAATTTACGCTCTAAAAACTCAATCGTCATCCGAAATGGTTCTGCAGTCCCGATTGAGACCTCTAATTTAGCTGCTCTAAAAGCAGCTCTAAACGGATTTGGGGACGCTGCTGCGCAAGGTGCGCAACAGCATCTGCTGTGCACGAAAATAGACCCACTTTGGGGCCCATTTTGATAATCCGAACCATTCACATTTTAGAATACATCAAGTAGAATATGCCTGCAAAAAACCAAGTTAATTGGATATCGTTTACCTATTCATCCACTCACATTTGTATTTATTTTAATATTTTAAATCACAATTATTATTTATTTTTGTAGATAGAAATGTGAGTAGATGAATGAATAAACGATATCCGATTAACTTGATTTTTTACAGGCATGTTCTACTTGTTGTATTCTAAAATGTGAACGGCTCGAATTATCAAAATAGGCCCCAAAATGGGCCCATTTCCGCGCACAGCAGATGCTGTTGTGCACCCCGTACAGCAGCGTCCCCAAATCTGCTCTAAACAAGTGTCAAGCTCAAAAAAATAAAAATAAAAATAAAAATTCAAGAAATAGAAATATTGTGGCAATGGATGGGACCCACTGCCACATCATTAGTGGTAGCTCTAATTAGAGCTACCAAGCATTTTTTAATGGTTCAGTTTCTTGAAAGTGCAAATTTGAATTTGAAATAACTATTTGCATTATTGCAACTCATTATGGATTTTGTTCTTTCGTGTATATATTTTTTCTTTTAAATTTAAATCGATTTTATAATTATTATTTTTTTATTGTGTTTGTCTATGTAAACAAAAAGATACACAATAATTCATCTTGTTTGGTTCTAATTTTTAAAATTTAATTTTTTGTTTTTCTTTTTTTTAGTGAATTCTTTTAAAATATTTTAAGCAAATTTTTTACTTTTTATATATACTTAATATAAATACAGTTAAAAAAGTAAAATATTTATAAAAAAATAAAAAATTAATAAATATAAAAAATACAAAAAGAAAATTACAATTTTGTATTATTGTGTATTTATTAATATGTTTAATATATGTTTACAAATATTATACTTTTAGGTACATCTAGGTTAGGTACAATTAAAAAGTAAATAAATTTTAAAAATTAGTTAAAATATTAAAAAAAGCCATTAAAAATTTTAAAAATATGAAAAAACAAAAAACTTAATTTTCAAAAAATTACAATCAAAAAAATTGGATCCAAACAAGGTGATTGTGTTTTTAATAATAGACCATTATTTTTTTTTAAACAAACACATTAAAATAAAAAATATATAACAATTATTGTATCAATCAAATTTTTTCAAAAGATGGAATATCATACAAAATAAATAATTTGCATTATCAAAAAGTGAGTTACAGTGGGCCACGAGAGGCCAAACAATTGAACTCAACAAAGCCTAAGGTAGTGTTTGGTAGAATTTTAAAATTATGATTTAAGAATAGAGTTGTATTTAGAGTTCGTAAGTTTTGAAACTATGATTTGAAATAATAAAATTTGTCTAGTTATGAGTTTTGAATTTATGATATAACATATGAAATGAAAAAAATTATTTAGTTATGAGTTTTGAAAAGAGTTTTTAAAACTTAATTGAAAGACTTATAACTCATAACCAAATACACAACCCAAAACTCAATTAAAAATTCTATTCAGAACTCGTAACCAAACTCTTTTTAAAATTACTTCAAAAAAATAAGTTGTCATTTTGGTCTAAAAAATAATTTCTATATCTAAAAAATATCAAAAACAGTTTTTTTTTTTTTGTTTTCAAATAACAGGTGGCGGTTATTGGCCGGACATCTAGGAGGATGTTTGGGGCGGACGACCGGGTAGACCCAAAATTCAAAAATTGTCTGCTTTACCAAACATATTTTCAAAATATATTTTGAAATTGATTTGGATTGAAATCATTATCTAAAAACTCAAACTACACATAGTATTAATTTTAGAATACTCTACCAAGCACAACCCAAGATTCTCTCTAATTTGAACAATTTATTTTATAGAGTTTTAAGTACATATCATTTTTGTCACAAAAAAAAAAAAAAAACTAATTTGATAAAAATTAATATTTAAAAAAAATAAAAAAATGAAAAACAAATTTTTGCCTCCCAAAAGATCAAAGAATGTATAAAAATAATAAGTTTTTTTTTTATGTTTTTTTTTTTTATTTCATCAAATTAATTTTTCTTTTTTTAATATAAATATTGCGAAACAAGTTTGTGAAAGTCAAACTAAAATGGCCAAATTTTATTTGGATTATATGCATGGAAACTCAAAAAAATAAAAATAAAAATAATTTGGATCATTAAATTGAGATCATAGTATGCCCCACAAGAATCATCAATCATCTAAAGTTTAAAATATATATATATATATATATATAAATTAATGTAAGTTTCTAATCATGTGTCCAACTCGCCCAACCTATCCTTATGTTTTTTTGTTTTATCTTATCAATTTTTATTTGTATAATATATATAGGGATAGCCATTGCCATCATTGCTGCGCCATTGTTGTCCATCTTTGTCTATTTGGTTTGAGAGTTGAGAAAGAAGAAAAGAGGTAAAACAAGGAAGGGGGAAATTTTAGTACAAACACAACGTCGTTTTAGCTATATGGCATGAATCACTACATGCAACCATGGCAGATAGTCCGGACACATTCTCAAAATCTATTTTGAGCAGAGTATGTAGACTAACCTACTTTTGCTACATCTTATTTAAGAAAATAAAGCACTAGAACTCGAGTGCCCTCTTGTTAGGGCTCAAACCCAAATTTGACGATGGATTATGGGCAGTGTTGTAAAGATTTTAAATGACTGATATTTGGAGTCAATTTAGGGCAAGTTTGAGAAGTTTGAATAATTAAACTAAAAAGTTAAAATTTTATTCAAAAAATAAAAAATATATATTTATATAATATATTTAAAATTTAATATCTTCTTTATTTTTTGTACGGTTTAAAAAAAAATCAAAAAATGATTCAAAATATATTAATTATTTTTACCTCAAATTTTAGTCAAACAATAAAAAAAATATTAAAATAGTTTATTCCTCAAACAATCCCTAATTTTCATTTTTTTTTTGGTTGCGATTTTTGATATATATATATATATATATAAAAAATGTTCATTTAAAAAACCTACATTTGCATTTAGTTGGTTAGTTTTGAAATGAGTTTTGGGTTTTGGATTTTTGAAAATTGAGGGTGTGTGTTTGGTTTGTGTTTCAAAATCAGTTTTTGAGAAGCAGAAAATAAGTACAAAAACGTGTTTGGTAATGAATTTTCTGAAATATTCTCTGAAGACTGCTCTCACACTCTACGTACAAGACCAAGTCTTGTTTCCAAGAGAATCCTTGCACCTTTATCTGCTGTCACTCACTTCTCTCTCTCACTTTTACCTTTTTCTCACTTCTATTTCTCTATTGCAAAAATTGATTGCACCAGTCCAATGACTCTCTCTCTCTCTCTCTCTCTCTCTCAATGAAGACGATTCAAACTCGTAGGCCAAGATCTGTACTCTTCCAAGTGCCTTCGAAGAGACCCACTTCTCTTACCTCAATTCTTACTCTGTTGAAGATTTGAAAAATCTGTCGCGCAGATGCAACAACTCTATCTTAGATTTGTGGTTGTGGGTGTGTTTAATTCATCTTTGTCTCACAGAGAGTTGAGGCAATAGGGGTCATTTCATCGTAGGGGTCGTCTCTCCATATTTCCCCAAATCTTGCCATAACTTTTGTATCAGTGAAACAGATTTATCAAATCTTCAAAAAATCTGGTCTAGTAACATCAATGTCCATCACCTATTTGTCTTAGGGTCTATAAAATGCAAAGTGTCCAGCTTCAAACCCCACTAAGATGAAGCACAACGGGATCATTTGCAGAAAAAATGAAGATATCGTGCACAGGTTTTCGGTGTGGACGGTGGGATTTATGGGCCATCAAAGCCCGGTAAGTAAGAGGTAGAACTATTGTCAACTGATTTTTCTTTACAAAGTTCCAAATCTCAGCTTTTCTTCACTTTGTTTTTTGGTTGTCAGATTTTTGTTAAATTTTCCAATCTCACATTTTTGTGAAATTTGTATTAGACTGTTTCCCTTTGAAAGAATAATGTTTGTTGTGTTGATTTAGTTGGTGTAATTTTTTTTTTCTTTCTTACGGTTTATTTTTAAAATTAATAGAGCCAAGTTTTTTTTTCTCCCCTGTTTGATGTTGTCTGCTATTTTCTGGCCACCTCTGTACTCCTCGGTCGTTGTTCAATACACCCAAAAAGAAGATAAAGAGATCTCTTTAACCCTTAGTCGATTCCTCAACTGCTGAAAACGATTGTCATTATCCGATAAACATTTTCATTTCAAGCCCAAATTAAATATTAAAGATGGAAGATTTGCATTGCTTATTAGTTGTGGCCTTTGGTTAATTTTGATTGTGATGTTAATTTTGGATTTGATGTTGATAAACACTGGAGTGTAACAGATTTTTGGTATTTTATTCTTCAAATGGTCATTATACTTACTGACAAGTGAATTGGTTGCAAATTGGAACTAACTGAAGCTGGAACATTGTTGTGCTTTTAATTTGTTATGTTAGTATTTGTTTTGCAATTGGTATTTGCTATTACTGAATTGAACAACTTAAAGGCAGCTAACTTTAAACGTACATTTTTTGCACTTGTATTAGGCTAGTATGGCTAACGATGTTGATGACTTTAAGATGTGGGGAACTGAAAATGTTAAAATATTTTTACAAATCTTGTTGGATGAAATAAAGAAAGAGGGTACATGCATATCAAATAAAGACAAAAGTATTTATCCAAAGCAGTGGCAAACAACAAATGAGGAGATGAGTGAGAAGTTTGGAAAAAAATTTGGTCAAAGAAAATTGAAGGGTAAGTACACGTGTTTGAAGGCAAACTACAAAGAGTTCGTTACTCTTAAAAACCACACTGGATTGGGCTGGGATCCAATAACACAAACTGTGACGGCCCTATATGATGTTTGGGAAAGTTATGTTCGAGTAATTGTTTGGTTTCAGGCACTTACCACAAAGCATGTGTATAGAGAATCCTTACACTAATTATTATTTTATTTTTGTAACTTGTAGGCACACCCAAATGTGAAACAATTCCAAAATAAAGGCCTTGAACATTATGAGTTAATGTCACAAATCTTTGCGAAGTCATTTGCCACTGGAGCATTTGCCCGTTATTCTCGTCAGGGTGCACTTACATCTAATAATGAACGAGAAATGGATGAACGATTTCGTGCATATACCTTGTGGAAAGGACTAGTAGATGAATCTTTCACTTATGAAGGTAAGCGAAAGTCTAGTAGCCAGCATCAGCCAAGCAAGAACTTGAGAATGGATTATGCACTTGAATCATGGCAACAATCATATGACGCACGTAAAAGGTTTTACCTTCTAGCTAAGGCAAATGCTGGGGCAACTGATGCATACTCAATTTCAACCTGTATGGATATACCAAAATCAATCCAAACTTATACTTGAAGGCCATGAACATGTTCACAGTGTTAGAATGGCGAACCATGTTTGTGACAATGGAACCCGAAATGAGGGACCTTTGGATCCTCAGTTTGTGACAAGTTTGGTGATCCCATAGTTCGGAAAGGAATTTCATGGTGGTGATAAAAATTAATAAGGCTAGGTGCTTTCAGAATTTTTCACTTTGTTTTTGTACTTGCTTTCGAGTAGGAGTTTGATGGCGGTGATCCCATAGTTTTTTTTTTTTGTTGCTTTTTATTTTGTTTGTTGTTACTATGGTTTCATGAATTGCGTATGACAATGTTTCTTATATCCTACTATTCAAACCATGATCTTTTACATGTATTTGTTATGAGTAGTGTACTGATTAACATATTTTCCATATTTAATATTATTCAATATATTTCTTTTATCTTTTTACACTTTGCGATTTAGATATCGTCGTTACGCTGAAATGGATGGCAAGCCAACAACTCGTATGACCTGTATAGTGACGACGAAGACGATCTCATGGACTACCTCATGCTTTGCCAACTAACAACTTACAATTCTATGAAACTACCACAACGTAATTGTCCTTACACCGGTGATCATTACGTACAATTCTTACTAAGTGGAAATCAAAAATCAATACGTAATTAATTGCATATGGAAGTCATGACATTTATGGAATTAGTTAAAGAGATTGTGTGTAAAAATGTAGTAGATTGGTCTAATATGAGATTGTCATTGGAAGAGTCGTTGGTTATGCTCTTATTTATTTGTAGTCAAAGTTCACGCATAAAAAATGTTGAATATCGATTTTAGCACTCAAATGAGACTATTCATCGGCATTTCGTACTTACGATGCTGGCGCTTGGAAATCTTGCGCCATTTATAATCCAACCACCAAACATGACTGTAATCTCTCATGAAATTTGATATGACAGACGTTACTGGCCATAGTTTTGAAACTTGTTTGATTAGGAATTTTCAAACTAGTTTTGAGTTATATATTTTGAAAATAGTTTTTAAAAATTTGAAAACTCAAAACTTGTTTGATTATTAGTTTCAAAATTAGTTTTTGAGTTTTTTTGGGTCTTGTATTTTTTTTTTTGGTATTGTATTCAATTTTTGTTTATTTATAATAGTATAGTTAAATTTGTTTACTTTTTCATATACTTGTTTTAAATTTACTTTTTATATACATATAATCTAATTTATATGGCAAAGTTTGTAACGCCCCCAAAACAATACAACAAATACAACCCAAACATATATTAAAAACAACGTGAATCAGAATGAATAGTCCTTTCATTACGTAAAGTTAATAATACAAAAGAGTTTAACATAATTAAATGTCCTATTGGCTTACATCTTTCCAAGCCTTCACTTGGTTACACAAAAGGAGACTAGCTCATACACATTTAGCTCTAGGCTTTACAAAAATATACAATACAAATCAAAGAAGCTCTTGCCCCCAAAATATCCCTCAAAACTATTGCCTTGGTGGAGGTAAGTCACCAACACCTGAAAATGTTATTCCCAAATTGGGTGAGCCACAGCCCAGTAGAAATCATCTAGCACAATATATGAAGCTTAACAAAGGTATAAGTACACTATGCATACACAACGTCAATGATAGAGACATCCACAGTTTGTATAATCATAAGGTACCAATTTCCATTCATTTCATTACATGGACCAGTTTCATTATCTCTTTAACAATCCAAATGAGACTTCAACTCATTAGTTCTACAATCACATCAACAATGCATGAACACTTCAAACTTTTCTTTCACGGAAATTTCATCCGCGAGCTGCCGTTAAACGAGACCCATGTAAATGTAGGCTATACAAGCACTACAATTGCCATTTTACGGATATTTCGTCCGCGGGCTAGGCACCCATATATAATTTCGGGACTTTCACCCAAGACACTCCAACCAACTTAATTATAATGGAGTCCAACCCCTTTCTCCTCCCAAACAATCATTCATACATATGCAATGTATTTAAGCACAACATCAAACAATGGAGCACATCTCTTTCCACTTCCACATGACTATACATATACAATGTATATAAACATAGTCATATTCAACGACAAATAGCAAGAGATTGGTTTTAATTCACCTAATCCTCATGCGATTTCTACAACAATCATAGCTATCCTCCACCGATAGCCCAATACAGTTATTTCTAAACAGATATCCAATCTCATGACAGATAATTTATTCAAATTTCCAAAGAATGAGTTAATATATGACCAATCTCACCATTCTTATTGATACCCTCTCAATTTCACATTTGCAATGCTAATTCCAATTATTTGTACAAAATAATAGTTTGATTAAATTAGGGCAAATTCCCCCTTCTTCCAAAATATTAGCCAAGTGCCAAAATCATCAAATTAGACATTGTAGAGGGGGTTCAAGGTTAGAGAGGTGATCAGAGAGGCAAAACTGTGCTAATGGTCTAATAGTGGTGGAAGTGGCTGGAGAATGAGTAGTAGCAACTATGTGGGAGTTGGAGAATGTGTAGCTGGGTGAGGGTGAAGCAAATGGCTCAAGAAGAAGACAATGGTAGTGCCAAAATGGACAGCATCTCCCCCAAATCCTCAAAATTTCTCTTTTTTGAACCTTGGGAAATGGGTCTTATTTATAGGCTTTTCCTTGGCACCAAGAGGACATCAAGTGGCCAAATAGAGAGAAGATATGTGTCCTAGGGGATCACATGGAATATTCTGTCTTGAGCCACCAGGCTGAAGGTGTCACGTGTCCCTCTGCATGTACTATATACTATCTGTTTGCCTCCGCAACTACCTTTTTGAGCCTCAGTAAGTGCAATTACGACGGGAGTGTTTGGCGTTGCAACTCCCTTTTGAGACTCAACAAGTATAGTTGTAGCGGGAGTGTTTGCCTTTACACTTGCCTTCTCAGCCTGAACCTCAGCAAGTGCACTTGCAGCGGTGAACTTTGCCGCTGCACTTGCATTCTCAGTTCTATTTGGCCAGTACATGCATTCTCAGGACTCCATTAGCCCTGCTATCGGCTATGTTTGTGTTCACCTCAGCGAAGCCTCCACCCTTAATCACCTAACCACATACTCCCTAGCTTCCCAGGGCAAAGGCCACAACCAAGCCTGCTATCAGCCATGCTGCGCCTTAGTACCAAGCCCAATGGGGCTTTCTTAGTCCTGCATATGCGACTAAGGCAGGTCCATGACCTGGGTAATGGAAAAGGAGTTCCTTATGTTCGGGCTACCCTGCTCCCATCTTCGTGGTGTTGCTGCGGTAAACTGGTATTTCTAGGAATGCTATCAGCTTCAACCAGTAAGTCTTGGTGCCTGCTATCAGCGCCAAGTTAATAAACTTTGGGGCCTGCTATCAGCCCTAGGCTAGTAATGTATTGGGGCCTATTATTAGCCCCAAGCATTATCCTCTACTTGCAGAGGGAAGTGTAATGCCCCGAAATAATCCAACATAGAAAATACATTAACCCATTTCCAATTAAGATAATAACCATGGCTCAAGGGATGCCGGAAAGATATATTCACCATATTCCTTTACATAGTTCCAAATGTTATACAAAAGTAATCTCACATGCGATTATACATTCATTGACAAACTAGTACATGAATCTATAACATGTAAAATCATTTAATCAAAACGAATAAGGCCCTCAAGGGCTTACATGTTCCAAGGCAATAGCCCGGTTACACAAAATGGTCTCTTAGACCCATACAAATTAGCCTTTGGCTTTACAAAAGTTAACACAAATAAAAGAGCAATCTACTCTTCACCAAAAAACATATCTACACCTTCAGTTTGGCGGGATCACCACATCTTTACCTGCACCAATATCCCATAGGGGTGAGCATAAAACCCACTAGAGAATTCTAACAAAGTATATACAGTTATGCAAAACTTCTCAACATCATATGCAAATGTGATGCCAGGCAATGCCATAATAAAGAAGAACTTCATTTCAAAGCATAACTTGGAGATCACCATGTTTTTGATAATATTTTACATTCTCATCAATTTCAAAACTTCAAATTCTTTTAAATTAATAGGGGCGGTAAATACGACTCAGGTAATCCCTAGGTTGGTGTCTGCAAGTAGACTATACAAGTACTATCAAATCGTCATTTTTACCGGTATTAACCGGAAGGCTCGACACCTATCTGTGTGGTTTTCTGGTCTTTCACCATAGACACTCAGGCTAACTTATCAAATTCATCTACACCTCCTAACTGGACTTACCAACGTATTTACCCCATACACATTTCCGTAACTTAAACTCACATTTTTCTTATTCTTAATGCAAAAGATTTCAAATCTTAGCTAAAAGCTTACAATAAGTAATGCTAGAGTGCTAATATAACATTGTCGAAGTTAAATACAATTCCTGTAATAATCAATTAAATGAAAATGCAATGTGACAATCATCTTCATTACATAATATTTCTTCACCATCAATTTTCTCAACAATGATTTCATCATAATCAAACCTTTTAACATGTCTAGCATGTCACTTTTCATTTCATTTCCCATTTCAATAACATTAAATACCTTTCACATCATTTATGGCACTCAACAACTTGCCATCTTACAACTCTACACATACATACATTCATTAATGGGCTTTAAAAGAGGCTTCCACTTTCATACATATATTAAGAAATTGCCATTGCAAACTACATCACAAAATCAATGCTCATTTACCCTTTTATCACAAGAAAATAAAGAACTCCATAGACTTTTCTACATTTTAAGAAAATCCCCAATTTCTAGGGTTTTCATCCAAAACTCCACATTTCACCACTTCATGGTGAAACCAAACCCAAATCACATTTCTTAGGTCAAATAAAAAGGAAAACCCTTTAGAGTTAACAAAAGGGTTGGGATTTAAACCCATCTTTTCAAAACTCTCTCTACATTTAGAGCAAAAATCAAACTCCACCCAATAACCTCAAGAACACTTTTAAATCATCATTTAGATAGCAAAACATGTATATATAAC